AAATTTGCAGTAGCCAACGCCTCAACCCAAAATTTTGCTGGGAGATTGGCTGTGCAAAGAAGTGTGACAAGAGTTTCAACCAAGTGACGGTGCTTTCTTTCAGCGACACCATTTTGTTCAGGAGTGTAAGGACAAGATTTTTGATGAAGAACCCCCAAATTTTGTAAAAACAGACCAAACTTTTTATTGACATATTCCCTCCCATTATCTGTGCGAAACAACTTAAGGCGTGCATTGAACTGAGTTTGAACCATAGATTGGAAACTAAGAAAAGCATCAAATGCATCAGATTTATTTTTAAGAGGGTACAACTAGCAAAACTTGGTATAATCATCAATAAAATTAATATAAAAATGATAACCTCCAAAGGAGGGTACAGAAGTAGGTCCCCATACATCAGAGTGAACAAGCTCAAAAGGAGCAGAAGTTTTAGTTTCAGACACAGGGAAGGGGAGTTTATGAGACTTAGCAATAGAACAAGAATTACAGTGATCAAGATGCTGAAATTTAAAACCCAATTGAGACAATAAAGACTTAGTGACTGAAACTGAGGGATGACCAAGACGACAGTGCCATTGAAACGGAGTGACTTTGACAGAGTTGACCACCAGAGACGAGGGAGATGCCGGTATGGAGTACAAACCACGCTCACAAGGGCCCTTGAAAAGAACTTGGTTGGTGAGATTGTCCCGAATCGTAAAATCCTTAGAGGTAAAAAGAAGAGAACAATTGTTATCTTTAGTAAATTGATGGACTGAAAGCAGATGGGAGTTAATGTGAGGGGAATGAAGAAGGTTGGTTAAGGTAAAAGTGTGGAGAGGGGTGGTGAGTATACCTGAGCCTGTATGATCAATGGGATAGGTGTTACCTCCTGCAGTTGTGATGGAATTGGTGCCATGGTACGGAGTCAAAGTATGCAGCCGAGACAGATCAGGCGTGACATGGGTGTTTGCGCCAGTGTCCAGATGCCAGTTCGAACTAGATTCAGCAGATTGATTTGCATAGAACGCCTGCGGAGGACCAGCATATGATTCATCGTAGTGGTGCCAACAATTCCAGACCGCATGGCCAGGCTTCCCACAAAGTTGGCACGTGACGGACCCCCGGCCACCTCCTCTGCCGCGTGCGTCGTCGCGGTACTGCGGCTGCCGGCCGCCTCTGCCGCCGGGCTGACTGCCACGGTAAGGCCCTCCTCGGCCTCGTTGTGGTCCACGGCCACGACCCCGACCATTGCCTCGTCCGGTGTTGGTGTAGAGAGCATTATGAATGTCAGCAGACGAAGTAGAGCCGGAGTCACCAAGAGACAATTTTTTCTCAAAAGATAAATTCAATTCTTCAGACAGCAACCAAGAGGAGACCTGATTAAAGGTGACGGTGGCAATATTGGTACGAATATTTTGCTTGAGGGAGGCATAGTCGGCCGGTAGACCTCGTAGAACACAAAGAATAATATCTTGTTCAGAGATATCTTCATGAGCCAATTTGAGAGACGACACAATGGTGAGAACAGTGTCCAAGTACGTTTGCATGGAGTCGGTACCCTTAGTCACACCGTGCAGGCGCTCCTTCAGTTGAAAAATATGAGTGCGTGAAAGAGAATTGTACCGTTGTTCAAGATGATTCCAGATTGCAGCAGATGTGGGAAGAGCATGAATATGAGTCTGAACCGTGGGTGAAACAATTTCAAGAAGACAGGCCCGAATCTGAGCGTCGACGATAAGCCATGATTCATAGGCTGGATTGGATTTCATAACCGGGGGTGCATCCTTGCCCGGCGCAGTAGCCTTCTCATCAAGAATAAGAGCCGGTGGAGAGGTTTCAGATCCATCAACATAACCGAGTAAGCGATGGGCAAGAAGATTTGCACGAACGGTGGCAGACCAGGAGGGATAATTTGTGTCATCAAGCTTGACCGGGGTTAGGGATTGAAGATTCCGGACAAACAACTTGAGACCCGTAGGAAGATGATCCATGGGATCAGAGGATACAGGAGCCATGGCTTATGCACGGCTCGAACAGAAGAGAAGAGATCGGCAGTGCCGAATTTTTTTTTTTTCTCTCGGTGATGATTAACGCAGCAGAGAAGAGAGACACGGATCTTTGTGCTCTGATACCATGTTGATTTATGAATTCATTCTTAAGGAATAATTGTGTACATGGATGTTTATATAGGTGAGGGTCCCTACATGGACTAGAATTCACCAAATAAGTAAACTAACATAAATAACAATTCTGCTATAACTAGACTTCTTTCCATATATGTCTAACAAACCTCATCAGTACTTAACTTACAGAAGTTACAATACTAAAGTATGAGTATTATATTATCTTTATATTCGATAGTTCTAATCCATTACGGATATTAAATTTAAAAACAAATCCATTAAAGAATAAAAATGCTCACCATTCTCAAAAGGGAGCTGGCAGGGTCAAGGAAAGTCACCGGAGGACAGGCCGGCAACGATGGAGTGGTGGTGTGCAGAGTCACAGAGGACTAGGAGGTAGATGAGAGGGAGGCGAATTCCTGGTCATGATTCTTAGCAGCGATGTAATCATTTAGCTCCAATTTTTTTTTCTTTCTTTTCAATTTTAAGGCTCTATTCATAATTAAAGTGGTTTTGTCTGGTCTAATGTAATATGATTATAATAAAAATAAGTAATAAGTACAAAAAATAAATTGAACGGAATGTTGCCTAAGTATGAAGAATAATATTATAAAAAAATACGGAGTATAATATTAAATATCCTTCAAAGTAAATATAATATTAAATAAATACATAATACTACAAATTACAGAGTATAAAATTTTTATATACTACCTCCGTCCCAAGATGTAATTAACATTTCGAATAACATGCAAAATATCATCTATTTTTAAATCATTTATTTACAAATTTGTAGGAAAATAAAAGGTAAAAGTTACACTGTTTGAGAATAAAAGGTAAAAGTTACATTGTATAGATCAAAACTTCTACAAAGATGCAAAAAATACTTTATTTTATCAAATGATAAACCAGAATGAGTAAACGAACAAAAATTAGCAAGAGACCGAAATAGTCACTGTTGCTTACATTTTAGAAAATTATATGGTCGACTTAAAGTCCATCATGGACCTATATATGAGCAAAATGAGCATTTTTCAACTGACTTAAATTAGCATCTTTTTTTTAATAAACAAATGTTAAAAAAAAAGAAATTTTACGAGCCAAGCAAGTAATTCTTTTCTTAAATGACTTCAATTTAGTACATAAAAAAAGTAATTTTTACAATCTGGCATACACAACGCTAAATTTAAAAGTAAAATTATATACAAAGTTTAACGGATTTGTCATTTTAAATAAACAAAAAATCATTAAAGGATCGAATATGGTAGGCATGACCACAGGGGTATAATTTAGACCATCGAAGATGTTCCTTAAGTTTTGATCAAACTTAATAAAATATTTATTTGATGTGTATAAATTACTGTTTGATTGAAATTATATTAAAATTATATAGCAATTAGTGTAATTGATTGCTAATGAATTATGCTACGTTGTCATTAGAAAAAATGATCACATGAAATAACTTAAATATACTAATTTTAATTTGAGTAAATTTTATAATTGGTCCATAACAGGGGGTTTCCTTATTTAGTCCTTGATGGTGTAAATTATCGGCCGGTATATCGTTTTTAGCCCGCCTAAAACGATAAACTAGTCTAAAAAATACACCAAACTATAAACACGGGGATTTTTACGTGGAAACCAAATCGGGAGAAAACCACGGGCCTTTTTTGGCGGTACCTTGCCAACGGGAGATTTTTATTAATATCGGGGGTGTGTACATGGTACAAGAGTTGGGCTCGGAAGCCATTAATGGTGGAGCTAGAAGCTCTTGAAGAAGAAGAAAATATGCTATCTAGAGAGAGAAAGAGTGAATGGCAGGGGAGAGTGTAAATTTGGCCTCCCCCAATATTGAGGGAGAGCCCTCCTTTTATAGGAGTAGCTGGAGCATCTTCGGAGAAATATTCCTTTATTCCTCTATTTTATTAAACAGGCCCGGTTCGACTATTCTTCGTAAAATAATTGGGAAATGTGGGCCGAGCCACGTATTATTTCCCATCAGTCCTCTATTATCAAATAGTATCTCAGTGGTCATTCTTTTATGGGAATTTTTCCAGAAATAGTCCTTTTTTGATCTTCTATCATGTTTGTGTTAATTTGAGGGCTAAAAGTGTAATTTCACAATGATAATATATCTTTTTTGTCATATACAATTCCATAGGTTGTTCCATTTGCGTCGTTTGTGAATTATAATCGCTTTTTACGACAACTATAGTCTACAAATGTGATCTTTTGTCAGAACCTAGCCCACAATCATAGTCATTATTTTTTTGTTACCTGCTTAACCAATATCAGAACACGTCACTAGACATAATGTTGATGTCAAATTATACTTTAGCCTTTAAATTAACACCAACACGGGAAAAAATAAAAAAGGATCATTTGTGGAAAAATATCCTTAAAAAGGACTACGGGGGTAATATTTGATAATAGAGGACTAAATATGGAAACCCCCTATTATAAAAGACCAATTATGAAATTTACTCTTTTAATTTGTAGATTACCAATAATGGATCATTTAATTCTAAGTGTGGGGTAATAAAATAATTATGATGTAATTAATAAAATTTATACTTATTAATTTTTATATTTTTATAATTATTAATCATTAAAAATTTGATTTATTTTTTTCCGTGCATTGCACGGGTATCGAGCTAGTAATAATAATACTCCGTATAAAAAGAAAAAGGATAAAAAGCCCGCCAGATCTCTGATGAATGAATGGCGGTTCGGATCCGCAGCTCCGGTTGAGCAACGACCATGAACCCTCTTCCGAAGAGGCTGAAACAGCCATCTTCATCTTCCTTCTTTCTTTCTCCCTCTTCCCTATTTATCTATCTCCTCTGCTTTGCCGCTCTCTTCTTCAGCTTCTCTCTGTTCAAGACCTCTCCGTCCTCACCTCCGAACAACCCTAGTACCAGCCGGGAAGCGCCGGCGGCGTTCTCGCCGACGTGCAACGTTTCAGATGGCCGGTGGATCTTCGATTCGGCGGCCAAGTCTCCTCGCTATGATCATACCTGCAAGGAGATATACAAGGGGTGGAATTGCATCGGGAGGAACAAAAGCAATGCGCTCTATATCTTCAAGTGGCGGTGGAAACCCTACGGGTGCGATCTCCCTCAGTTCGATCCTATCCAATTCCTCCACCGGTTCAGAAACACCAATATTGGTACTTTCCTCACTTTCTAGCTCGAGTGTTCCTGCCATTTTATTTTTGTTGTTGATATTGGCTTTGATTACTGTCCGTTATACTGTTATTTCTGCATTTTATTGTAACTGGATAATTAAGGCTTCATTTTGTATTTGTGTATGTATGATATAGGATTTAGCTTGATAGCTGTTACATTGATGAAGCACATCATTAATAGGGGTATTTTTCTGAAAAAATCTTATATTGTATTCATCTGTCTTTTATTTTGAGGATTGAGAACTAGGAAACCTTCTATGACTAAGTAGAAATGTCATCACAACAACAACAACAACAAACCCAGTATAATCCCACTATTTTGGGCTTGGGGTCAAGACATACACAATTTTAACCTTGTAAAAGTAGAGTCCGTTAGAAGTGCCCAGAACTTCATAGAAAATATATTTTGGGAAAAACTTTCCAATCACCGATCGCTCAAATTTTTAGGTGCCCTCCACTTTAATGAAAAATTTGGGGTAAGGGGTAGAATATTAAAGAAATACTTATTTGTTTTGGAAATTAGAAGTTTATTATGGGACAACCCAAAGCTAAAACATTGTCAAAATGACTCTTTTGACTCCATTGGCATTGTACTCAAGTAGGATATGCTATTTTTATAATATAAACAAACACTATAATTTCAAGTTAATTGCATGGCTGGGGGAGGGGGTGGTCATAATATATTTATTTGCATTATTGAAAGTTTGAAACTATGGTTCTTAGTACATGGAAGCATGGTGCATTTATGTGCATTGTTGAAACTATGGTTCTTAGTGCACGGAAACATTTTTCTGCCTTTTATTTTTGAATTGAAAATACATTAGTTATTTGCATGAGTAATTTTGTTATTTAATCTAAATTAAAGTGATCCTTGTTTACTCTTCTCTTATGGTGTATTAATGTTAACATCCATTGTCAATGGAGCCAGAATAGTGACAATGTTTATGCTGTGTGTAAATAATGAAGTAATAAACTAAATCAGTCTGGCGCATTACACTTTCCTTCTTACTTTTGATGAAGTTTTGGGCAGTGAACACAGCAATGCATCAAATTGTATAATGGTAACCTCTATTATTTACATGCGTAAGTTTGTGTACATCTTGATCCCTTGGACCCCAATGGAGTCTTGGGTTTGTTGTTGTTCTAGTGTATTAATGTTTTAGTATAGTGTATACTACTCCCTCTATCCCATTTTAAATTGTCTGTTTTCCTTTTATTTGTCCCAAAATAAGTTGTTTGTTTCTTGTTATCGTAAACTTTTAAGATTAAAATACTTAAACTACCCCTAAAATAAGTAACTCTTCTCCACCTTATCTTCTCATTCATCGTCACCCCTCCTAAAAAGTAATGGCAATTTCGGAAAGTCAACTCTAAAGTTAAAACGGACGGAGGGAGTAAAAATTAATTTGCACTTGTGCCTGTGTATACCAAAGGTGGAGTTGATGGCTTGCTTAACAGTGCAGGGTTTATCGGCGACTCTTTGAATAGGAACATGTTTGTCTCGTTGTACTGCACCTTGAAAGGAGTATCTGGTGAAGCGAAGAAATGGCATCCTGCTGGTGCTGATCGTGGTTTTACCTTCCTGAAATATAACCTTACCATTGCATATCATCGGACAAATCTTTTGGCTCGTTATGGTAGGTAAGATAAAACAAAAATTTATTGCCCAAAATTTCATATAGAGTAAGAAGCGATGAGAATTTAATGTGCTGTGATAAATTAAGCATGATAAAGATAGGAGAAAGATGTCATGTTAGGAGTCATAACATTAGCACATGGGTTTCAGCAGAATGTGTAGGTGTAACGCTATTTCTTTCAGCTTACTCCATATAAGGGAAATAATCCGAATAAACTAAGTTGAGGAGTGTTTGGTGATTGATGGCCTTTTTCAGGCTGATCAACCCATTTTGGTTACCAAATGCCCACTTAATGTGGTTTTGCTTCCTTTTTTTCCCTTCCAAACCTAGACAATATATCTCTCTTATATCATGTCTACAATGAGTATAGTATAAACTCCATTATGTTTGGGGAGGTGGACAGCCAATGCCAATGGCGGTATACTAGAATCACTGGGATATAAGGAGGGATACAGAGTTGATGTTGATATACCAGAAGGAACGTGGGCAGATGCTCCATACTTCCATGATGTTCTAATCTTTAACACGGGTCACTGGTAAATATTGCTTTTGGTTATTATTGTGACATTAATATAATGTTTGTTCCTTCGCTTGCATAGACGACATTTTTTTACTAATTTTCTGCACTATATTAGGTGGTTTGCTCCAGCAAAGTTTGACCCGGTAAAATCGCCCATGCTTTTTTTCAAAAATGGAAAACCTGTGACACCTCCTGTACTACCGGAAACAGGTCTCGATTTGGCTCTTAAACATGTGGTATTGCTCTGTTCGTCTCCCTCAATTGAATTTTTATACAAAAAGAGTACCTTGGCTAAACTTGCAAGAACGCATATATAATACTAACGTATTAGTGCTTAATCTTTCTTATGTCGTATCTAAAGTGGTCTAAAGAGGTCAAAGAAAAGTTGAAGTTTCCATTTGATCTTTATCTTATGCTATTAAGTTTCTTCTGGTAGTTTGACTGTTCGCTTATCAGTCATATTAGCTTAATTTTCTTCTGAACATATGCTTAATTCGGCCTGCTTAGTCGTCATTTAAAAATAACAAAAAAGTTTAAAAAAACACGTGCTCCTATTTTTAACCTTCATTCTTGACATTCGTTAAGTTATTTGCAAAATCAATCTATTTAGCAAAATCATTTATTTTAGCCATGGTTCCTGCAAATTCAATTCGTTCATCCAGCATTTATTAATGAATTTCACTCATTTTAAACTGGTTCTTAATCTTTTATGTTGCATTTGCATCCGTGCTTCAAAACTCGGTAAAAAAATCACATTTTTTAGCATGACTCTTTTCTAGGTATCGTACGTCGAGGACAGAATTCGGAAAAATGCCATTATATTATTTCGAACACAGTCTCCCAGACATTTCGAGGGTGGTGAGTGGGATCAAGGTGGCTCCTGTCTGCGATCACACCCCTTGTCTCCTCAAGAGGTAACTCTATTACCTTTAATGTTTACTTCGGCCCAAAGTTTTATACTTTTAAACTTTGGGCCGGGTTCAAATTAATAATATATAAATGTTGGTAATGATCATATTGATTTTTTAAATTACATTTGCTTTTTCTTGAAATTATCCAATCCTTTCATGCTTGAAAATGAAGTACATTAATTGCTATGAGCTATTTCATGTGCCCATGAGTCCATGGCATACACTAGGAAAGCCTTTTTATGGATAGATGGATTATATTTATAGATCTAGAATAGATTTTCCATCATTTTTTTAATATTCACTCAAAATTTGTTTTAACATGGTAAAACGTAATTAGGTCTAAAAGTTTGGGTAATTGATATGGCGCACACATACACACAAATAAAAACATGCACACAATGGTCATGACATTGGTTACTGCATTTCAGGTTGAGGAATATTTCTCTCTCAGAAATAACGGAACCAACTGTGAAGCTCGTCTTGTGAATGAACACCTTCGCAAGGCCTTAGAAGGCACTAAATTTAGGACACTGGACATCACTCGTATGAGTGAGTTCAGAGCGGATGCCCATCCATCGACCGCGGGTGGTAAAAAACACGACGATTGCATGCATTGGTGCTTACCAGGTATTACAGACACTTGGAATGACCTGTTTGTAGCATACATTAACAACCTAAGGTAAGAAAACAAAAAAAAAACAAAAAAATTGAAGTAACATTTCCTTCCCATTAGATTCTTTTATAGAATTGCCCACTCTCTATATGATCCTGTACAATTTATTTTGAGCATGCTAATGCTACTCTTTGCAAGTTTCTAATGTTGCCTCTGTCACCCCCCCTACTGAGTAGCATCACTTATTTTTTTGCCCAAGTTTAAAATGGATAAAGTTGTGTTTGGGAACTAGAATTCATTTGAAATATTAGATTAATATTCCAATATTTGAAATCTCGTTATTTCAAATTCCTAATGTTGCTTGGGAAGTCATAGAATTTCAATTTTAGAATTTGAACTATGAAGTCAGCAAAGACAATAACAAAAGCGAGTTGATATGTATGGAATTGTTATTGCATGAAGGGGGGTCACTTTTTAATTATAAGTTACTCAAATGAAAAAATGTTAGACTTTGATTTGTAAATGACATGAGGAGAGATGTAGATTTGTAGTAGTTGAGTTAATTTTAAATTAAAAGAATTTGGTTCAATTCAAGTCAAATTTTTTGATTTCTAAAATAAGTGATTTGGATCAAATCCAGATTTGGAATTAAAATCCAAACTTCCAAACACAGTAAGGCAGTGTTTGGGAACTAGCATTTCATTTCAATTCATGCATTTCAATTCCAAAATTTGAAATCTTGAATTTCAAATGATAATGAGAGGTGCATAGATTTTAAATTAAATCTTGTTATAAATGAGAAGAATTCGATTCAAATCTAAATTTAAATTTCAGACATGGAATTTGAACCAAATTCATATTTGAAATCTAAATCTATGTTCCTAAACATACCATAAAAGAATTAAAAAATGGGAACCTTCTTTTTTTCATATTGACAAAGTTTTAGGCGGAAAGATTTGACTGAAGAGAACATGTACCACTCATTTTAAATCTTGGTTACGTGACCTTAGAGATGCATTAAGTTTTTTTTTTTTTTTTTTGCCAAATTTTAATATGGATAAAAAAAATCACACAATTGTCACAAATGTTTTATCATTACATGCAAGAATGTATGGTAAAATTTAAGATTTGAGGAATCGATCAAAGAGAGCATGCAACTCTAATTTCATTTTTTTGAGTAAGGCAACCTTATATTAAGTCATAGAGTGCCACCAAATGTAGAGTGCGAAACATATGAAATATTAATGTTTTGCCACCACTAGCAATAAGATTCTTACAATCAAGAATAATAGAATTAAAATTAGTCGAGCTACAAAAAGCATCTTTCACGTCCTTGCAATCCTTCACTTTGATTCACTTAGAGCCGCTTGAACTGCTACCGCTTTTGCCTCTCTAGCACCAAGCCTCCTCTTTCGGTGATACTCAAAGCTCCAAGGAATTTTTGGTTATCATCTCGTGCGAGAAATCCAAAGCCAGTTTAGTGAAGAGGCATAGAACCAGTACATGATAAACAGATTCTTCTTGCTCATTGCAGATATAGGGCAAACATCAAACATAGGCAGACCTCTCTCAACCAAATTACTCGTACATGGGAAGTAGAGCTGGCAAATCGGTTGGTCAAGTCGGGTTCGGGTTCGGTCACTTTGGGTTTGAATTACTCTTCATGACCCAGTGCTGTCGAGTTCGAGTCGGCCCAACGGGTTATGACCTTTATTCTTTTCTTGTTTTTTTTTTTGATATTTTAAGTAATTTTTATGACTCAGTATCAATATTAGGAATAAATTAAAAACTAGGTATGCAAAATAATTGAAAAAAAGTAACATAATTATGCGATATCATTAAAATGTTGTATGAAGAATTAAAATTTATACATTAAAAATGACTAATAAGAAAAGAAATAAACTTATAATCTTAATTTTTTAAGTTATATTTTATATTAAAGTAAATGATTTTGAAAAATTCTTACATTAACAGGTCAGCTAGGCTGGGTTCGGGTTTGGTTAGATTTGACCCATTTTTAGCAGATCATTTCAGATTCGTCAAGTTCCAGTTCATTCAACAAAAACTTTGTTGAAAATTCAGTATTTTTTAGTCAGGTTTCGGGTAAAAAACAAGTTAAATTATTTTTTTTGCCAGATCTAATAGGAGGATATTATTTAATGCCCTCCAAGCAAAATTCTTCAAGCTTTGGAGTATTGTCACGTTTATTGGCCATTTTTTTAAATTAGATAAGAAATTCAATATTTTTTTCTAGATATTTCACCCCCCCCCCCCTCTCCCCAGTGTACTTATGCACTCTACATTCTCAAAAACAATTTTTTCTTTCATTGTGGCTCCCTAGATAGACGGCGTGGAATTTTCTCTATTTTTAGTGCTCAAGTATATATAATTTTTCGACCTAATCTCTCCCCATGGAAGGACTTATGTGTTGGAAATTTTAAAGTAAAATTGGACATTTTCGGACATAAATTCGGTTGGGTCCACAAAATTATTTTCCAAAAATAATTATGGACGATTAATCTCGTAAGTAAGACGAACGTCTTGATATATGACATGTCATAAACGGTGCTCGGGTGAATGAGAAATTAATTCTCAAAGTTGAATGTTAAGGTAGAGTAAATGCCTTTGTCCCACACCGGTTTCTAAACCTTTCGTATTCTCATATTTAAGCTTAGGCATTGAATTGAGCTTATGAAAGGAACAAGAAGAGGACTCCTCGGGGCGGGGCGTGGCTAAATTTTTACGAGACCGAATTAAACACGCGTGGACACTTCGTGATTAACGAAGTGCCGTTCAAATGAAGCATGCATGCACTTGAGGCCGAAGGGACACTCGTCCCCTCGTAATTTCCGTCCAGTCCAAGCGAAGAGCCAACTCCCCTCCTATAAAAGGAGGGGTTGGTTGCAGAGAGACACTCACACTCGAAACAATCTCTCTCTGCGTTATATAAACTTCCGACGATCTCCAAATTTCCGATCATCTTCTCCGGCGATAACTTCTCGTCGTTCTCGTTCGCCGGTGCTCTGTTCTACCGCTCTAGACTTAGCACGTAGCGGTTTTATCCTGGGAGGAGATTGCCCACGTTTGCCAGTGCGGGAAGCGGGCAATACTACCTTAAGGAAAGCTTCGGCGACTCCGCTTTCCTTACCTATGGTTCTAGAAACATCTCCGGCGACCCATTGTTCTCCTTCCGAAGAAAAGTCCGTTCGAGCTCCCGAAGACTCCAAGTTTTATTTTCTTTTATTTTTGTTGTAAAATCCGAACATTTTATAAGTTCGGATTATTTTATTTTTATTTTTCCCGATGTAATATTCAACATTATGATCATTCAAAACTGCATTGGTCATAGATCAACCGGCATTATAGTAACTAATAAGACACGGGCAATCATAAACACTCAATAGTCCTAGAAAAAGCCATGCCCAAATCTATAAAACCACTCAAAGCTGCTAGCTGGAATATGAACTCCAACCCAAGTGCTACAGAAGACATGCAATTGATTCTTCTACATCCTAATAATAATAAGGTTGTCAGCGGCGGCCCCAGGAAGCAATCAATGTCTGTTGATTATCTGCCATGTTTTCAGGATGGAATTAATGACAGGTAGTGGAGGAATCATTGTGGCGTCTTGCGGCAATCTGTTCTCTCTACTCATGACACCAAACTTGTGTGCTCCCACCACCACCACCTTCTTTTTTGACTATTTGTTGCCAATCAATCGCTCCCATTGCTTATCGTCACAGATGATGGAATTGCTAGACACAATGACGAGGGACCTTAATCTACCAAACAAACACGCAGTAAAAATAAGGGTTCTAATAATGAGGATGGGGTAATAAATTAGTGAAATTTGCATTAAATATGACTAAAACATAATAACTTTTTTAATGTAGACTTAAATTTTTTTATTCCTTAAATAAGACTTAATAATGACCTAGTGAGAGGCCAGTAATGATGGACATTTACTTGAATAATGACTACTTCATAATGACCAAAGATCCTACATTGGAAAATAAAAGCATATGATCCTATAGAGAAAGTCATTATATTTTAATTGTATTTAGGTAAATTTCTCTTAATATTTCCCGCGATAGTCGCCTGATTGACCGCACAAGCCAAATGAAAAACAGGGAGATTAGTGGAAATGGAATTACAGTATTTATTGCATTCACGTTATTGACAAAGGAAAAAAAAAGGCATAAAGCAATGGGAATGAAATTGACAATACTAGCCCTCACTTTTCCTCTTCTTTTTTTTTTGACCGAGCATAGTATTGTCCTTCACTTCATTTACAAATAAAATACAGTAAAAAATAAACTAGTGATTTAAAAGAGAAAAAACAACCAAACTCCATGTTTTAATCCACATAAGAGGGGTAAATCAAGGTTATTTAATTTGGAGTAGTAATTACCTACCCACCGGTCCAATTCTAATACCATGAGCGTGACATGTTTGATAAATTGATAATCTCTTCGTCCTAAAACATTCTTCCCAGTTATTATCCACACGCTTAAATTTTAATTACTTTTTTTATCTATTTTCGTTAGTTATTTGATAAAATAATATATTCTTGTCACCATTTGTTTTAACTTTTGATATAACTTTTAAAATATATAAGTTTTATTTTTTAAATTTTACACATACAATGGAACGAATTGAATTAGAAATAAAGTCGGTCAAACCTCGTAAACAGAAATGGGAAGAATGTTTTAGGACGGAGAGAGTATTTAATATTGTTACAAAAATAATATTATTAAATTTGTTTTATATACCCATACGGAGTAGCATTTTTAAAATATTTCTTTATTTAATCGATATACTTATGAAATTTAATTAAAGATAAAAAAATGATTTCAATTTTAATTGAAATGTCATGTAAATAATCTTGGATCGTTGGCTGTTAAAATCAAACCGTGACAAACGGATCGGACTTATTAGGTTTTACTCCGAAATACTTCAATATGATCTCATCATAAAAACTATCTTATTTATCTCCAAATGAATGATTTAGCTAATTAGATTAATTCCATAATCATAGCCTTAGAATTCGTATGCTTTAAATGCTTCACAACGTAAGTTACGTAACTGATCGACTCTTATCCTATCCTTCTACTACTGCAGTAAAATTTCAAAATACCACATAAGTTTGTTACTCTCTCCCTCTCGATATTTTTACCTGATTTCGGTTTACAATCTTTAACAAAAACTTGTTTCAGTATAACTTATTTAGGCAATGGTGAAAGACTTGAAAAATAAAAAAAAAATGTTTAAAAACTACTCCGTATATCAAAAGTTCTATGGAGTATGGAGCAACATACAATTTGACTATTATTTTAAAGAAAAAAAGATAAAATACAATATATATATATATATATATATATATATATATATATTGTATCTAATCTTATAAATAATAGATCACACAAAATAATATACTCCCCCCGTCCCAAAAAAATTTACATCTTTCAAAAAAATTGTGTCCCACAATCTCCTACTCATTTCTATTAAAAAACCACTTTTACCCCTTACTTTTTCAAACCCTACCTATCACATCATACCTTTTTCCTAATAATCTACACATCACATCCTACTTATACCCATCACATCAAGGGTATTTTTGGAAAGTCAACACAAAATTATTCCTCCTTTAATTTCAACTTTAGTCAAAATGGGTAACACTTTATGGGACAGAGGGGTAAAAGAATAATGTTTTTGGAAAAATAAAAAAAAGGCAAGAACTTTTACCTCAATCTGATTGGCTTTGCCGGTTTCTACGCGGCACACTCCCATCCTCCTATAAATAAATTGCATAAACCCAAAGACTATATACATTATTTGATTTATTTCTCTTTAATTCCTCCCACAAAGAAAATGAAGTTTTCCTATCATCCTCTCCAAGTCCCCATCTCCATCATCACACTAATGGCCATAGCCATTGCCTCTACCAGTGGGGCCAGAGCTCTGTCGCTCCGGCCCCACAGCTATCTCTTCGACTCCCCGAAGGGCACGTCGAATCCCGGGCAGGACTTCCTCAACGGGCACAACAATGCCCGGGCCTCGGTGGGCGTTCCGCCCGTCGCGTGGAACGGCACCGTGGAGGCGTACGCGAAGGCGTACGCCGCCCACAGGGCCGTGGACTGCGAGCTAGAGCACTCCGACGGGCCCTACGGGGAGAACATCGCGGAGGGCTACGGGGAGCTGCGGGCCTCAGACGCCGTGAACATGTGGGTCGGGGAGCAGGAGTACTACGACCACGCGTCCAACGCATGTGCCCCCGGGCAGGAGTGCGGGCACTACACGCAGGTCGTTTGGCGGGCCACCACGAGTATCGGCTGCGCGAGGGCGGCGTGCCGTAACGGTTGGATGTTCGTCACCTGCAACTATTACCCTCCCGGAAACTACATTGGCGAACGTCCTTATTAGTTAGGGATCGGAGTAATATTTATTTTTAGTCATCACCTTTTTTCTTTTTGTTTAATATATGAGGTCGCCATTGATAATTGAGATTTATTATAAGGTAATTTAAAATTATGTTTTAATTCTATTTAATGCAAATTTCACTTATTACTACGTACTCTATGAATAAGCACATTTAATTTTGAGTAGATGATAGAATTTAGGATGGAGTAGAGACAACTGAATTGAGTAATAATATACTTGAACTGAACCAAATTAAAAGATTGAATCCAATAGATTAGTTAGTGCAACACAAAAGCTTATACACCAATTATTTTGTTTTTAAATTTCTGATATGGGATGACACTCTAACAGTAGATTCACCCATGCTACACTTACACCAAAATTATACATTGTATAACAGTATATAAATTGAGGTACAAATTTTGGGATACAAATACCTTAATCCATATGAACTTATACCGGAGTATATTTTAGTCACACATCTATATAACTTTTTTCATTCAATAAATATGGAATGAAAAAGACTTTATATAATTTTATTTTTTCTTAAACTTCCAAAAAAATTAAATTATGCATCACATTAATTTTGGTATGAAACCATGAAGGGAGAGGGCTTTAGTGAATATTGAGATTTGAGACCGATTATTGTTTAATTTGCATGAATTTATTTCCATATACTTTTCTTCTTCTTTTTTTAATTTATTTGAAAAAAATAAAATAAAATAAACAATCAACCACAAAACACAATCCTCGCCACGATATACGCAGCATCGTTCAAACACTATATATATATTTCAAACATCCTAAAAAAAACACTCCAAATAATATTTATATTTCAATAAATTAAATAAGTTGATTCAATTAAACAAAAAAAATGAGGTTTTCTAATAATTCTCTCCAAATTCCTATCTCCATTATGATCACACTAATGGCTTTATCCATTCTTCATCCATCCTCCCAAGCTCTCTCCAATGGCGCCCAACCCCCATTCATATTCCAGTCCCGGAAACACAACGTCGACAAACCGCCGCCCGCCGCCCCGTCGGAGAATTTCATGCAAGATTTTCTGGACGCGCACAACCGGCTGCGGGCGTCGGTGGGCGTGCCGCCGGTGACGTGGAACGCCACGGTGGCGGCATTCGCCGCCTCGTACGCCGCCAAGAGGGCGGCGGCGGACTGCAAGCTGGTGCACTCTGGCGTGGCGGAGTACGGGGAGAACATCGCGTACGGGTACGGGGACGACTTCGTCCCCGTGAAGGCGTGCATGAAGTACTGGGTGGAGGATGAGCGGCCGTACTACGACCACTCGTCGAACACTTGCGCCGCCGGCAAGGAGTGCCGCCATTACACGCAGATGTTGTGGCGGAACACCACCAGCATCGGCTGCGCCAAGGCGGCGTGCCGGAACGGTTGGACGTTTATTTCGTGCAACTATTACCCTCCGGGCAATTATGTAGGGGAACGTCCTTATTAGTTAATTAAGGTCTAATTAAGGACCTCTCGAGTGTAATTAATATTAATTGATGTCAAATATTTGATCAATATTTTGATATTGTAACATTATAAAAATATAATGTTTCAAAAGTACATTCCAAAATGGGCAAATTTTTTACGTAGACGTAAAATCTATGTTAATTTTATACGGAGTAGATTTTAGTATATTTAATTTGTAGTACAAAAAAGTTGGTTTTTTGCAAAAAAAATCACAAGCAACCCATGAAAAATATAAGAAAATCTATATTTTAAATGTAGATCTTGGATCATGTAGGCATCACTCTTCAAAATGAATATATTGGAATAAAATTTCTAGGTGTTGCTAAAAAGATAATGTTATGCTTAAAATTGTAAGTCGTTGAACAAACAATTAACTCTTATATTGTTTGTTAACATCAAAACACGAGACTTAACCAACCAAGATTAACAAAAATGACCTTGCATCAAAATTCTCTCTTTTTATTTTTGAGTTTAAAATTATCAATTTAACATTAATTGAGTGGATATAGCCAAAAATGACTATGAATATAGCAACACCTTGAATTTATACTCCGTATACTCTATAATTTAATGTAACTATTCTGCAATTTGTAGTCAATGTTTAAAAAGGTTGATCACAAAAGTAAATATGAAGACAAAAAATATGGGTCTAAGGAAGTAAGAAAACATATTGAAGGATTTGAAGCTATACATTTTGGTAATGTATAATCATGATTAACATTATAAATACATTTTTAACTCTTATTTTAGAAATAAAAGCATAAAATTCCATTTGAATATATTTTCAATGTTCTTTTCATAATTTAGTCGAACGAAGTCGAATAATTTATTTCTAAAGTTTGGTTTGTCATTTTATCATACAAAATAAATGAAAATCACATTATTGGGAGCAAGTAATTATTGGTGCCACGTGCTAACGGGTAATTGTTTCACTCTGACCAGGAACAACCAATAGGATGGGTAGGTATATTTAAGTGTTTGGCATTTCCGGATATATGACCATAAAATTCAAATAATTCTTTTTTTTAAAAAAATATTTTTTATTAAATTTTTTTATTAATAATAATTAAATTTTTAGTTCATATTTACTAAAATAAATTTTAATTCATATTGGAGTAGACTTAGATATTCGAAGAATTTCATTGAATAATATTGGAATTAGATAATGCTAGCACAATTTAAGGCTTGATTTGTTACCCTCTTGGCTCACGCTTCTGTTTTTCAAATTGATCTGTACATTTTATTGGTGGTCATTAATGCTATATTTAATATTTTTATAATAATTATGTTTATTTCCTTGGATAATATTGGAGTCTAATATTACTCAAAAGTTAAAAACTACTCCATACGTACTTATTATATTTACAATGTGATAAACTCATATCAAATCATTATTTTTTTGTATTGATTCAAAATGAAATATTTATTTAACAGGTATTTCAAATCTGTTCGGATAATATTGGAGTCTAATATTATTCAAAGAAGCACAATTGATGTCAAATTTGTGGTGTAAAAATGGATATCAAACTTTAATTCAAACAGCATTCCACATGTCGCACCGGCCCCAGAGGCCCAGACTATGAAAACATAACTGGACCCGTCTTTTTAGGCTTACATTTTTTTAATTCGCGGTCTCGTATTATTTTTACTATTAACTTTTTTATTTATATACTCCGTATAATTTTATATTATAAAATATTACTTCCTTCAATCTTAAAAATATTCCCTATTTTGATTTTTTTGGTCAAACAATGACACAATTCAACCAAAAATTGTAAGAATAGTATATAATTAAATACAAAATAAATTCAATATAATTGGATACATCTTATGATATAGTTTTGATATATCAAATGTTTATATCATTTATCTATTCAAATTATGTTTGATTTATGATCAAAAAACGTCATTGTTTGATTAAAAAATTTAAAACATGAAAGATTTTTAAAACAAGAGAGAGCATATTTTAAAACTTTATTTCAAAACAAATCTATTTATTTTAAATTGTGAAATTTATGTATCATAATTTTTTCCATTTTTATGGTCAAAGTTGGAAACATTTGCCCAAGAAAAAGTAGACAAGAAGATACTTCAAAACGGATGAAGTAATTTTTATTTTTTATTTCTATATTAAATTTTACTTATGTTGTTTTGAAAATAATTTCGACTGTACATCTTAAACTAAAGCCTTTAGTATGGGTGTGAGAGAGTAAGAGCCAATCAATAGTTCAATTATTAAATTATACACCCTATTATTTTTGTCTCATTTTGATTTGTGATGTGTGATTAGAATTTATTTTGATAGTCACAGTGCAATAATCATATTTTAGCCATAAAATTAATCCATGTTACTCTTATTTTATAAAGAAATATTTGCACTAAATAGTACTAAAACTTAGATCATTTCCCTAAATAGTACTTAAATTGTTTTATTCTCTAGATAACATTTAATAATATCCATAATGTCCAGTGATGACAAACATTTACTTGAATAATGACTAATGGATAATAACTAAAAATGCTACATTGGGAAAAAATAATATAATGCTATTTAGGAAAAATCATTATGTTTTAGTGCTTCTTACGTAAATTCTCTTTTTTATACTCCCTCTGTCTATCATAGATCTTCCCAGACACTATTCACAGGGTCAAACTTTACTCACTTTGTTTGCTCAATTTTACTAGTCATTTCATGAAATAATATAATCTTGTCACCTCTAGTTTTGTAGAACTTTTCATGTAGTTTATTACTATATAAATTTTATTTTAAAATTGTACTCCTATAATCAATTAAATTGAATTGAAAATAAAATTGGTCAAGCCTCGTAACGCGTAATGGGAAGATCATACTACCTCCGTCCCACTCTCTTTGTCCACTTTTGACTTTTGGAACTGTTCATCTAAGCACTTTGACTCATCAAATTCTCTCAATGTGTAAGCCTAAATATAGGCATGTGTGATCTTGTTTGATTTGTCTTAACATATACTCCGTAGATTATTAATATATAATTTGTATAATTTTTTAATATACAAATTACAAGATAAAATGGATTAAAGAAGTGCATTGGATGGTGTGCCAAAATGTAAGTTGACAAAGAGAGTGGGACGGAGGGAGTACATGGACGGAGGGAGTAAACTAATGAAAGGTATACATTACTTCTTTTTTTTTTGAAAAATACATTACTTTTATTTTGGATGATTTCTTTTACAAACAAAAATATTCTACGGTAATACGGAGTAAGAAATTAGATTTAGTTTGCTCAGGTAAATAATGAATAGATAGAAATGGGGTTACATATGTAGTTCTCAGTGGCGGATCCAGAAATTCTAATAGATGGAGGCACAATTGATCGGGACAGCGTCCCTGAATTAACGGTCATAAAGGCATAAACCACAAACTTGTTTAACGGTCATCACCAAAGATTTCTCCCTACAAATAGCACTCCCATCCAACAAACTCCCATCACATAATAATATAATCCTCAAAATCTCCAATAATAATCTCATTAAGTTTCACAAAAAATGGACTCATCACCATTATTTTCCTATCCCCACCGGCTTCCGATCATCATCGCGGTGGCCATAACCGGATTCGCCGCCGTCTCCCGGGCATCCCCGTCGTCGCTGGCGGACGCGGACGCCAAGGCCTTCGTGGACCTGCACAACAGGGCCCGCGCGGAGGTGGGCGTGGGGCCGGTGAGATGGAACGCGAGCATAGCGTGGTACGCGAAGGCGTACGCGGCCAGGAGGGCGGCGGACTGCGCGCTGGAGCACTCGGACGGGCCCTACGGGGAGTGCATATCCCAGGGGGGTGGGGAGATGTCGGTGGCGGACGCCGTGAGGGAGTGGACGGACGAGAAGAGGTTCTACAACTACGAGAGGAACGAGTGCGAGGGCGGCGAGGAGTGCCGGCACTACACGAGCGTGGTTTGCCGCCTCACCACCGACATCGGGTGCGCCAGGATCAAGTGCCGCAATGGGGCCGGGTGGTTCGCCACCTGCAACTATTGGCCGTCCTACGACGGCCAGCGTCCTTATTGATGCATGAGATCCATTAATTACTTAAATTAATTAATTGGATTCTAAAGGATGTGTGGGTATGATTGAGCTACATATATTAGACAATGTAAACAGGGAAATTATTTGCAATTTTGGGCATTGTTATTGTTCCTTTTTCTTTTCTGAAACAGTTTCTGTCCTTCTTGATAAAGGAGGAGCGTGTCAAATAAAGATTCATTGGTAAATCAATCTCGTGTCTTATGTTTATGGATATACTCTCCCATTCCCATTTAATCTTCTCTTTTGACTATGTCCCTTTGACCTTTATTATCGATATTTATATGTACATATATATATATATTTTATACTTCCTCCGTTCCAAAGTATTTGTCCGCTTTAATTTTTACACATTGAGAGAATTTGATGTGTCAAAGTACTTAAATGAACAGTTCCAAAAGTCAAAAGTGGACAAAAACTGAGGGACGGAGGGAGTATGATTTTAATGTTCCAAAATTAGATTTCAAGATCAAACTATTGATATTGTATTTATACTTAAATACAATGTATGTTTTCTGCATATTAAGATTAAATTTTAGAAACCTTGAAAAAATTTTGAGTAGAAATGAAATCCCCACAAAAGAGAGGCTGTATATACTCATATACGAACGATAATCATCTGCTTGATGAATTTTATCTATCGGATACAATATATTATGGTGTTATTATTGTTCTCGGTGTTATTATTATTATTATTATTATTATTATTATTATTATTATTATTATTATTATTATTATATTTTTATTATGAACGTATTGATATGCGACTTAGGGTGTTATTATTGTTATTATTATTATCATTATTATTGTTATTGCTATTATTATTGTTGTTGTTATTGGGGTAAAAGGGGGGTGTCTAGGGTGGAGGTGCAGGGGTCGGATTGAGGTGGGTGCGGAGGGGTTTTGGGAGAAGATATGAACTATCAATTTTATGAAGTGAGTACCGAAAGAGCTCTAAAAGAACAAGTTTCATCTATTAACTCTAGAAACCAGTCTCAAAAGAACCTTGCTGTATTGTTATTATTGATGCTGATTTTTTAGAGAGGGATCCATTATCCTGGTTAGGACTTGGGAGTTGATTGTTGATCCCCTAACTCCTTCCCGAAATGGAGCCGCAGTCCGTTAATCTGAACCTGTCTTGCAGCCTGGCCCAAAGTTTGGTTCTGAACGATTAGATCTCTCCGATATGGAGTAGAGATAATTGGACTCCATGTGGGCGGGTCATGTGTGTAGTTAATGGGCTGGGTACATGGGTCTCAGGATTAATACCGTTTCGACCCAAAATAAGAGTGAGAGAGAGAGAATTACGATGTAAAATAAGTTCTTTTAAAATGATTTTTTAAATTTATTCTATTTGAATATTCATATAAAAGTAAATAATTGCAGTAATGCCTTCATATCTAAAAATTAATCAAAAAATTCTACAAACCAAAAAAAGGTTATAACAATGTTATTGTATTAAATAACTAAAAATTTTATTTAGTTTGTGCATTTAGGCCAATTTTCATAGTTTGTGCATTTAGATTTCAAGATCAAACTATGGATATTGTATTTATACTTAAATACAATGTATGTTTTCTGCATATTAAGATTAAAGTTTAGAAACCTTGAAAAATTTTTGAGTAGAAATGAAATCCCCACAAAAGAGAGGCTGTATATACTCATATACGAACGATAATCATCTGCTTGATGAATTTAATCTTTCGGATACAATATACTATGGTGTTATTATTGTTCTCGATGTTATTATTATTATTATTATTATTATTATTATTATATTTTTATTATGAACGTATTGATATGCGACTTAGGGTGTTATTATTGTTCTTATTATTATCGTTATTATTGTTATTGCTATTATTATTGTTGTTGTTATTGGGGTAAAAGAGGGGTGTCTAGGGTGGAGGTGCAGGGGTCGGATTGAGGTGGGTGCGGAGGAGTTTTGGGAGAAGATATGAACTATCAATTTTATGAAGTGAATACCGAAAGAGCTCTAAAAGAACCAGTTTCATCTATTAACTCTAGAAACCAGTGTCAAAAGAACCTGATTTTTTAGAGAGGGATCCATTATCCTGATTAGGACTTGGGAGTTGATTGTTGATCCCCTAACTCATTCCCGAAATGGAGCCCCAGTCCGTTAATCTGAACCTGTCTTGCAGCCTGGCCCAAAGTTTGGTTCTGAACGATTAGATCTCTCCGATATGGAGTAGATAATTGGACTCCATGTGGGCGGGTCATGTGTGTAGTTAATGGGCTGGGTACATGGGCCTCAGGATTAATACCGTTTCGACCCAAAATAAGAGTGAGAGAGAGAGAATTACGATGTAAAATAAGTTCTTTTAAAATGATTTTTTAAATTTATTCTATTTAAATATTCATATAAAAGTAAATAATTGCAATAATGCCTTCATATCTAAAAATTAATCAAAAAATTCTACAAACCAAAAAAAGGTTATAACAATGTTATTGTATTAAATAACTAAGAATTTTATTTAGTTTGTGCATTTAGGCCAATTTTCATAGTTTGTGCATTTAGATTTCAAGATCAAACTATTGATATTGTATTTATACTTAAATACAATGTATGTTTTCTGCATATTCAGATTAAAGTTTAGAAACCTTGAAAAATTTTTGAGTAGAAATGAAATCCCCACAAAAGAGAGGCTGTATATACTCATATACGAACGATAATCATCTGCTTGATGAATTTAATCTTTCGGATACAATATACTATGGTGTTATTATTGTTCTCGGTGTTATTATTATTATTATTATTATATTTTTATTATGAACGTATTGATATGCGACTTAGGGTGTTATTATTGTTCTTATTATTATCGTTATTATTGTTATTGCTATTATTATTGTTGTTGTTATTGGGGTAAAAGAGGGGTGTCTAGGGTGGAGGTGCAGGGGTCGGATTGAGGTGGGTGCGGAGGAGTTTTGGGAGAAGATATGAACTATCAATTTTATGAAGTGAATACCGAAAGAGTTCTAAAAGAACAAGTTTCATCTATTAACTCTAGAAACCAGTGTCAAAAGAACCTGATTTTTTAGAGAGGGATCTATTATCCTGATTAGGACTTGGGAGTTGATTGTTGATCCCCTAACTCATTCCCGAAATGGAGCCCCAGTCCGTTAATCTGAACCTGTCTTGCAGCCTGGCCCAAAGTTTGGTTCTGAACGATTAGATCTCTCCGATATGGAGTAGATAATTGGACTCCATGTGGGCGGGTCATGTGTGTAGTTAATGGGCTGGGTACATGGGCCTCAGGATTAATACCGTTTCGACCCAAAATAAGAGTGAGAGAGAGAGAATTACGATGTAAAATAAGTTCTTTTAAAATGATTTTTTAAATTTATTCTATTTAAATATTCATATAAAAGTAAATAATTGCAGTAATGCCTTCATATCTAAAAATTAATCAAAAAATTCTACAAACCCAAAAAAGGTTATAACAATGTTATTGTATTAAATAACTAAAAATTTTATTTAGTTTGTGCATTTAGGCCAATTTTCATATACTAATAACTACTAAACCATCGTCCCAAAAAAGTATTTGAGATCTAGAGTTAAAAAAAGAAAGTCACACTCTTCGTTAAGTGGTAACAAATTTGACTCTCATAAATGATATTCTATTTTTCTATTCCAAATTAAATTGCATGATTATAAATAACAAGGTTAAATTTTATTTACTTTATTTGCTTATGTTCATTAGTCATTTGATAAAATAATATAGTTGTATTACTATTAATTTTGTAAATTTTTTAGTGTAGCACTTTAGTACGTAAATTTTATTTTTTAATACAATAACATTTTATCCTATTTCGAAAATAAATTTATAAAACTCCTATTTTGATACTTTTTATATGTTATAATCCTATTTAAAGTAATTTCCCTAATTAAATTGTATATTTTGATTTAAATGAATTTCTTTAATATATATCCTCCCTATATTAAAACTAATTCAAAGTTTTACAAAAATATGACTATATTTGGGCTAGTGTTTGGTTTAAACCTCCGTCAACAAGTAGCCATTTGTTGAAGTTGCAGAAATTGTTCACCGGATCCGTATTTCCGGCGAAACTCTTTCTTACTTTTGCCTTCTCATCGTCGCCAACACTGTTCACGCCACTTTTTCATCAGATCCGAGCTAGGAAACAAAATGGTTTACCAGTAAGGAGCTGTCGCTGCCTTCAAAACCAACTCAGTCTCTTCAAGATCCCGAAATTCTATCGAAATCGCTGTCGTTTGGAACTCCTACCCAATTTCAGGTACTTTATTTCGCCGATCGAATTCCAGAATTAGAAATTTTGGTGATTTGAATTGATGCTCAACGGTTGAATCGATGTTTATACCGTTGGATTTCGGTTCAGTAATGAGGGGTAGTGTTTGATTGACTAGATCTTAATTGAGAAGCTGTTATTGGAGTTTCTGTTTGGTTCTGTCTGTGTAAATTTGTGTGTTGGTGGAAAACAGCAGTAAGTGAAGTAGAGATCAAAGCTCCTGGATTTGGATCTAGGGCTTCAATGGGGGATATGAGTTTTCCCGTGTTGTACTTAAATGATTGAAGCTTTAGATTCCACTCTGCATTGATTTTTCTCAACGAGGAATATGAAATATATCCTTTTGCTAACTGTGATGATGAGTTTTTTTTCCAAAAAAAATGATTTTTTTTGGTTTTACCATGTTGCTTATGATGGATTTTCGTGGCAGTTCTTGGGTGAGCTTTTGCCAAGAATATACATTTTTAGAATAAATTTTTGTCCTTCATCAAAGCTTCCTTCAAAAGTAGTTGTATCATCCAATCCCTAAGAATAGATAGTGAACTTATCCCTAAGAGGATGTAAGATTACCTTGCTTGATTTGGGTATTCAACTCACCGGTTTACTCTCATATTATCGTCATAAATTGGATTTCTTAGTTATTGCAAATTGCAATATTATCTTGATAATGTTTCATTTCTGTCGCTGAATCGTGTAGTGTTGTATTTGCTTAAAACAGATTAATACAACAATACTACGGAGTACATTCTTATTATCTTAACCAAACACATCATGTAATCTTACATTTCTGTAATCTCACAATTTCAAGGCATTCATATTTCCAAGGCCCTTACATGTAATGGAACATAAGATTATAGGAATATGGGTACACCATAGGTTGTTCCTTTGCGGAATGTGATATTACTCGTGTTTTCAAAGTGTCTAGGAATGGGGTAGAGTCTGAATATTCTAAAATATTATGGAGTAAAGGCAATTTTACAATGCCACCCCCCTTCGTCTCACTTGAAAAAAAAATTCAAACTTGATGGTAATACAGAGTATTACATTATTGAGGCAATCGGATTAGCCGAACTAGACAAAGTTATGTTACCCCCATTACTCAGGTAATGACACATTCTTCTAACCAAACACCCCCTTATGAACTATCAGAAGGCACTAACCTCTAGGATTTGTAGGATGGATACTCTGTCCCAAATATACCGTCATACGTGTAATACTATCAAAAATCTTTTTTTGAGACTGTTTATCGTAAGTGAAATGAAAACATTACGTGTTGGAAAATGTACAACTACTTTTAACATTTTTTTATTGTTTCTTGCTAGAATAAGAAACAGGAGGGTGAATATAGAGAGGTAACTTCTGTCTCTCGCCATGTACAAGCAGTCACCGGGTGGCAGGAGCAACAGATCAAGAGGATTCAAAGTCAAGCATGCTCTTCAAATCTGTGCATTACTTGCTCTCTGCTTTTGGTTGATTTACAAAGCCAAACAACCCCGCGAAGAAAACACACAATTTGAAGGGAAAAAAGACCCGGTTTCGTTGCAAAAGACAGTAAACACAAAAAACCAAGTTCCAAAATTAGGAAGAAAACACCTTCCCCAGTCCGATGACAGTAACGGGAAACATGACAATGAAGTGGGAGATGAAGTGTTGTCGGATGACGAAAAGGAGAAAATCGAGAACGAAGCACAAGAGAAACTGTACAAAGCCGATGACGCTTCGAGCGCAGTAACTCACGAGACACAAATAGTTACCGTGGACGAAGTGGATGCCAATTTCACGTCGGGAGGTAAAATTTCTGAGGAGGGCTCTGACATGGCAAAGCTAAGCAAAGGTTCTTCCTTGGCTGTGAAGAACATTCCATCGCCCGATTCCTTAACCGAATCTAACCCGACAGTGTCCGAGAAAACCGTACAGGGTCGTCCTAGGTTTGCAACGCAGGACGACAGATGGTCTTCGATAACGGGTGACGAAACGGGCAGTGCAGATGAAGGGGGTGAGCGTGGGGGTGAAGTTCATCAAGATCTTATTGTTGACTCCTCTGATTCTTCATTTCCCTTAGAAGGGAAAGATGCAGAAATTCATACGGAAGGGAGTAACGGGGAAGATACTGTGGCAAAATGATACTGTGTAATAACAGTCTATGAAGAAGTCTGAGCTATACTATTTTTGTTCAAATTATGAGTTAATACTATTATTATTATTATTATTATTATTATTACGGAGTATTATTATTATTATTATTATTATCAACGCCATCATGGTAATAATTCTAATAAAATAATTATTGTTCTAAATTATTGTTATTAATTATCAATATTGTTTTAATTTAATTACCGTAAATGATTTAATTGTTTCAATTATCAATATTTTGATCTTTTGTCGGTTGTTAATTACCATCTGTCTTTTGGTACAGTTATTGTTAGAATTAAACAATTAACTAACAGATTTAACTGTGATGTATTTAGGGGCTGTTTGGCTACTTCTGAATCGGTAAGTGCTGAACCAGTAAGAGGTCTGAACCATTAAGTGCTGAACCAGTAAGAGGTCTGAACCATTAAGAGCTAGTATATTGCTTAACTATTCAGAGGCAAATGTCTGATCAATTCAGATAAGAGGTCTTAACCATTCAGACTCTGTATAATACTTAACCATTCAGAGGCAAATCTCTTAACCATTCAGACATCTGAACCATTAAGACGCTGAAACAAACAGTCTGAACCATTAAGTGCTGAACCATTCAGACATCTGAACCATTAAGAGGCTGAAACAAACAGCTCCTTAATTTGGGAAAATGCTAGAGTCACAAACATATAGTTCACAAACTTCACAAACTTTCCTTTTGTGGATTTTAAATTAAAATATCATTTATTATTTGAGTGCATTTTATTTCTAGAAAAGTGTTAAAAAGACAAGTTTGTGAATTTTGTGAACTGTTTGCTTGTGACTCTAGTATTACTCTTTAATTTGTACAAAATACTTTTAAAAAGCAAGATTTTTTCTTGTAAATATTAACGTGAAATTATTATTAACATCACTTTAAAGGTTAAAATGTTCTACAACAAATTTTATAACAATGGTGATAGTGAGGGGTATTTAAAGGTGTGTATATACTCCTCATCTCAAAATAAATTTTTTATTTTTTTTTTGTCCGTTTTGAAGTAAATTTTCCACTTTCTTTTTTCCCTTACAAAATGAATATAATGAGTGGTTTATAGCATTCATCTCTCTTTCTTTTTAAAAAAACATTTTTTTACTTTTAAGAAAATTCTATTCACAGACTTTTCAATTTTCAATAAGCTTCTAAAAATCTAAAATTTCATGAATCAGATCATAACTTTTATTTGGATACAATGGATAAATTAATACTCATAGCTTCCATTTTTGGTAAATCAAGATTTAGTAATCAAATGATTACTATAGGATGAATACACACACATGTCTTATTATTAGCAGGAAGTTCATGTAAAGTTGAAGTACTTAATTAAGTGTGAAATAGCCAATTAATGCCAAATAAATTATCTACTCTCCAGAAAAACACATTTTATTAATTGCATAGTACAGTAATTAACTACTAAGTACAACATTCTACATATTCCATCCATGTTACTAGTACAGTAATTTTATTTGATCACGTGTTTGAAAAACATCATTTCATTCTCTCAAAACGTTTTTCATGGGGATTGGTTTAAATCTCCTATTACATTTTGATCTGTGTTACTATATTTGTTGATGATCTCTATCTTCAAATTTAGTTTGAACGTTTTCATTTTTAGAACGATTAAAGTTTGTTGTTTGTTCTCTCCCTCTCTCTCGGAATATTACTTTGGTTTGACTTTTTCCTGTCAAACTAGACTAATTTTAATCATTAACAAAATTAGATTTACATTATATATTAATATAGGGTAAAGTGCTTATAAGGTCACTTTATTTCTTTGAAAGTACATCTCAAGTCCTTGAATTATTTTAAGTGTGTACAATGTCTTTATATTTTTTGAAAGTACTTTAAAGGTCACTAAATTACTTTTAGTGTTTATCCAATTTTTTTAGTGTGTTAGTGGTCTTTTTTCAGACCAAGTCTTCTCAAATTGTTGTAAGAATTTGTGTTATATCATAAATTTTCAAACAACTTATGCGTGTTGCTCACAATATCCGCACACTTGATTTGAAAATGACACCTAAAGGACTACTAACGCACTTGTTGGAAAGTATATGAAACTGATAAGAACTAAAAATAATTTAGGGTTGCATTCAAAAAAAAAATAATTTAGGGACATATGAAGCACTTTAAAAAATATAGAGGGATCTAATAAACATTTAAAATGACTCAAGGATTTGAGAAACACTTTCAGAAAACACAGAGACCTTGTAAGCACTTATCCGTATTAATACAACAAAGTAAACATTTGATAGTTTTCCCGCAAAATAAAACTAATGAAACTTATTTTTATGCAGTATCATCTTATATGGAGTTTTTTTTAAATTAACTAATGATCAAAGTATATGTAATTGACCTAAAAAATCGAAATTAACAAGTGTAATTATCAAAAATAACAATGAACATTATTGATATAAATTAAATTAGATTCAAGTTTTTTTTAATTTGTTACTATAAAATATTTATTATTGGGTCTACAAATATGAAGTATGAATTTGAATTTTTGGTTAAGCTGATTTCTCTTGATATGTTATATTTGTAGCAAATTTTTGTTAGAGGTCACAAGTTTGAAGAAAAGCATTTTGATTTTACTCATTAGCTAGACAGTTACACAAAAAATGAACTACATAAAATATTCAATATATAAATATATTGTTTAATCTATAATATAATCATCACAAATAATGTGAATTGAAGAACAATAATGCATGTAGTGATTATGTATATCTTTGTGCTAAGAATATAATCAATTTTTACCATCACTTATTCTTTGCAAGGCCAAATTCATGACCTATTATTTGATGATGGATCAAAGAATAACTATTATATATTGAACCAAATACACATGGCAATGAACACTATGATATGTATATTCATATGAAAAATAATTACTCAGAAAAAGCCATGGCCATATCCAATGGCATTATTAATATTATTATTATTACTAAAACCATCATTAATATGAGGGGTTATTGATAACCCTAATCCTTTGGGAGCTCCATAGAGAAGAAGATTATTAGGGTTCGAGGCGGCTTCCAAGACAAGCTTTTCTATCTGCCGCCCAATCCCGCCCTTCAGCTCCTCCATCGCCGCCCTCAGCTGCTCCAGCTCCGGCCACCGGAGCTCCTCCACCGGCCCCTCCCACCAGCACCTCTCCTGGCTGTCCCTCCTCATCCTGGTCAACCCCTCCCCGCGCTTCCTCTCCAGCTCGAGCTGGCTCGAGATCTCCATCAGGTGCATGTTCAGCTCCCGGACGCTCGCGTTCCGGTGGGCCTCGATGAGCTGGGAGGTCGCGGCGGCCGAAGAGGCCGCCGCGGCCGCCGCCTGATGGGGAGGAGGAGGGGGCTGGGGAGGGGTAGGGTTCCGGGCGAGGAACCGGTCAACGACCGAGTCAACGCTCGGGTGCCCGAAAGAAAAGACCTTCTTCCCGGGGGAGAAGACGATTATGGCGATGTCCACGCCACACAGGGTGCTCAGCTCGCTCGCTTTCTTGAACAGACCGGACCGGCGCTTCGAGAACGTCACGAGAAGGTTGCTCTCCTTTGACATCCTCGTCATCTCAATCTTCTGCCTCCCCTTGCACTTCCTCACCATGGCTAAACCAACTTAAATAAAAGATCATTTCATCTTTGTTTTGTCTTATAAATATATACACACACACATGCACATGCACACACATATATTATAACGTCCGCGTACATACTGAAATAATAACTTAATTATTAGCATTGTTTGTATTCCTAATAGGTCAAATGAGCACGAGTTTTTTATGTATTATTTTTGTTATATTCAATTCATTGAAGATGAAATGAAGTTTCTATATGTTGAGTGCTTTACTTGTTTTGGAACTTATCATTCCTTTTGTACTTAGAAAAAACTCGAACCCAATCGTTTTAGGTTCACGAACCTTAACAGAAACGTTGACTCGATACACTTGACTACATTAAGAAAAGGTTAAGCGGAATGATGTATTGTTACGATGTTCACTAAGAGTGGCACGGGCATAGTAAAATTAAATGATGTTGTTATATACACTTCCATTTTGGCAGAATCTACCCTTTTTATGTTAAAAGACAGCTATTGAAAGTTGGGTATCATTTCATTTTCTTCTTTTTTGTATTCTTAAAGATAAAATTGTGAATTTATCACAATTTAGCAAAGAAGGGAGTGAATATAAAAACACCCATTACTCCGTATAATATAATATATCTCCATCTGGGGGTATAAACGGAACAAAAGTCTTCACATTCTTCAGCCTTTCAACGTTCTCAACAAATAGGTGAAGGAGGAGCGGCGGATTTTCTTACAGACAAATTGTCGAACACCTGGCGGGGCATTTTCGGCATTGAATAATAGACACCAAGACTCATTTGGAACTCTGCAATTTCCAAAGGCAGCAAATCTTGAGTTTAGAAGGAACAAAAGAATTGGAATTTAAAAAAAAAATAATAATAATTGGAACTCTAGTTCATATTTTGAGTTAGGATGACCAAAGGAAGTGGGAGTTTATAAAACACAAAAAAGGTATAAAAAATGCGGTGAGCGTAGATCGAACACGCGACCTTCAGATCTTCAGTCTGACGCTCTCCCAACTGAGCTATCCCCGCTATTGATGCTCCTGAAGTTTTTTTCGTTTTATATACCTTTTACAGAGTAAACATTTTGCCGGTACTAGGCGTGTTTACGAAGAAAATATGTTTACCCAGTATTGGATTGTTTCCGGAGTAAACATTAAACCAGTTTTGGGCTTGTTTACAAAAGTTTATACCATATGCCATTGTATTTATCCGGAAGGAAAATTGTGAGATTTTCTTTTTGGTCTTTTAGAGATTAAGGTAATTCTGAATTCTCTCCTCATCTTATCTAAATGGTTCTGATTTAATTATAATAAGTTTTTAATCTAATGGTATGGTTGGTAGAGTAGGATTTTAAGTTATATATTTATCAGTTATTAATTAATTACTAGTAGTACTCATCATCATTATTATTATTATTATTATTATTATTATTATTATTATTATTATTAATTGTAAATGAAAAGCTTAAAAATTGTAAATGATGGTATATAGATTTATCTTGAATAAATATAATGAAATAATACATATTTTAGTCTATGAAGTTTGTCTAACTTTATTTTCTATTCTATCTAATTAATTGTAAATGAAAAGCTTAAAACAAAATTTCTATATCTAACTAGTTTATATTATGAAATGAGTAGTGAAAATAATAGATTAAATAAAATTAATAAAATTTGATCGTGTAAATAGTGATTTAATAATTCATTTATGGAGGAAGTAATCTATAGAGATAAAAGAGTAAAATTAATTGAAAAAAATTGGATTCTTTGAGGATGAATGAAAATTACGAAGTAAAACAGGATTTTTTTTAGAGAAAGGGAGTTTTCAAAATTAATTGCACATTATAGCTTAATCCATTTTCAACATATTTTAAATTTGAAATGAGAAATGCTATCTAGAGTGAAGATCACAAACTACATAATCTTACATTTTGTACACCTCACCATGATAACAAAATAATTTTAACTACTTCGTAATCAAAATGTAGATAAATAATTAGTTTTAAATTTAGCATTTATCATAATATATTTAAATTTATAAATCTTTAATATAAATTTAAAATATGGTAAACAAAATTAATTTTTGACAATAAAATACAGTAAAAAATACGAGTACTTAAGTTTAATTTTAGAGGGTGGGGGTAGATGCTTAGAAAAACCCACGGCCAATTCCAAGGGGCAGAGTAGTGCAAGCCCTAGCACCCGAATCATCATCGTCATAACAGCCACCACCACCACCGCCGGAAACATACTGAACTCCGCCGCCGCTGCCAAGTCCAGCCGAAGACAAAACAATATTATTATCCTCACCCAGCAAGTAATCACCAAATGGCGGCGGAGGCAGAGGAGGTGGCGGGTGATAGTGTACCTACAGCGGTGGAGGCGGCGGGAAGCCGTCGAGCATGAGCTGGTGAGCCGCCGCGGAATGGGTTTGTTTGAGGAGAATCTCCATCCGGTTCTTGAGATCCGTAAGCTGGTTCAAGCCGAGCTGATCATAAGCGGCGGCTCGCGTCCAACCTCCGGCAGCCGCGGCGGCGGCATATTCACCGATTGCCTCGCTTCTCTTCTTCTCCAACTCTATCATCCCCTCAATGTGTGTCAGCTCCATGCTTAGCTCCCTCACCCTCGCGCTCCGGTGAGCCTCTAACAGCTGATCCGCCGGCTCCGCCCCAACGCCGCCGCTTGTCTCGCCGCCCGGTTGACCTTTCCCGCTTAGGAACCTGAATAACAAGAGAGCTAGTTTATTGGGATTTTCTCGATCTATTTATCAAAATCAACTGAAAACAAAGAAAAATAAACACAATTATATTAAATTCATACTCCGTATTATAATTAAATATACTTCTGTCCCAAGAAAAGCTTTTCATATTTTAATTTTTTGATCAAACTATGACCCTCTATGACCCCAAAAAATATTTACTTATATTGTAAATTCGATATAATTAGATTTACATTATAATATAGTTTTGATATCTGAATTTTTTGTAATATTTATTTATATATATTTTTTAATTTATAGCATAAGAGTGTTACTCCCTCCGTCCTAAAATTTTCTTCCCGGTTTGCAAAACAAAGAAAAATCCCAATTTTTTTCAATCTATTTTATTTAAATATTGGTATAGAAATAAAAAATAAAACATACATATTTAAAAACTACATCAAAAGTTCAACAAAACAAGTGGTGACAAGAATATTTTATTTTATCATATAGGCCATGAAACAACACAAATATAAATTCCCTGAAGTTAGAATAGTGCTCTGGGAAGAAAGTTTTAGGACGGAGGGAGTATAATTTAGGAAACAATTAATATATACTCTGTATATTTTTCTCACAAATTATGATCCAAATTAGTCTAAACATCAAACCAGGATAGTTTTTTTTGGGTGTGCAAACGTACTACTTAACTATCGCAACTCGATCCAAAAATATATAGTACTTTGTAAGAAATTGGTTTAGTGTTCAGAACCAAAACAAAAACCTAATTTTTCTCATGATATTTTAAATATTTTTATATAAAACGAATAAGTTATTTTTATACCAATATCTAGTATTGATTTTATTCAGTTTATGGTTAAAATTTGTTAATTTTGATTGTAAAGGGTCAAAATTAGACAAATAAGTAGAAGAATGTTGTATATAGTACATATTATTCTGTAATATAATATATGGAACGTAACCTATATACTGTATATACAACCTCTCCAATACAGTCTCGACGGTAGGGTGGCCGAAGGAGAAAACCTTCCTCCCCGGAGAGAAGACAAGAATGGCTGCATCTACCCCGCAAAGTGTGCAGAGCTCGCTCGCCTTCTTGAAAACCCCCGCGCGTCGCTTCGAGAACATCACTTGCAGGTTGTTCTCATTCTTCATCTTCACCATCTCAATTCTTTGCCTCCCTCTACTACTCTTTCTCATGATATCTATAGCAAGTTTGTCTAAATAAAAGCAAAGATAAACAGATCTTTTTTATAGGCTGGTGAAACACTGTTGATAAATATTCATAGATTTAATAACACCGTTGACAAATGTTCATATATAAAAAACAATTAGTTAAGTTTATAGATATATACACATATATTCAATAATGTTATTGTATATACATTCGTAATTTAAATTTAGTTTATTTTATTTCTTAATATGAAGGCTTGGAACACTCAACCTCAGGTTCACATACTATGCTCTCTTTTTGGTTCATGCATGCCTAAGTAAAGATTTGGTGGGATGTACAAGGAATTATTATTGGATATGATGACTAATAAAAATATGAGAATTATTTTCATTGGATTTGCATTGATAATATGAGAATTATTAATAATAAAAATATTGTTTTTTCTTAATCAAAGACCCTTCATTGTTTTTTGCTAACTTCCTAATGTAGATGCACTATTTTTGTCTAATACTATAAAACTTGAAGTACCAATAACATTTTTAGAGTGAAAATATCATTAATTAATAAAACTATAAAAGTAGAGAGTACTTAACAATTAAAGCAAGTGAAGAGTATGACCATATGAGTAATATTTTCTTTCCTTTTTTTAAATTCTTTATGCTCAATTGGCTCTTTTTGAAAGAGAAGAAAATATGCCAAAGTTTCAAACGGATTGCTCCATATTTTCTAGCCTTAACGGTCACAAGCCCCAAAATTCAAATCCCTAAACCCTCACCTGAAATTGGAAACTAGCCGTTACCCTAATCAATCACAATAAAAGAGATTTTGACCATCTCTACCAAATCCTCCATTACAAATCTTCATATCAATTCTTCTACCTTCTGAAAAATTAGTTTGTAGTTTTGAAACGCCGGAGGTTTCAAATATTTTTGTTCGTTGGGTTTCCCCAAATCTGAAAAGCCCTCCATCCTCTTCCAACGCTTTTAAGGAAGCAACAATGGCGAACCCTTCCAATAGATCTCCATCTCCATTGCCGACGAGACCGAGAACCTCCACGGAGCCAAACTCCGCCGCCAGAAGAAGTTTCGGCGGCACCCCTTCTCCCATACCTCTCCCACTCTCAAACACGGGGAGACGAAGTTTCCGCCGTTCCTGCCCTCCCTCGCCTTCCAATAGCCCTGCCGGTACTGATCTTCTTGATTTCAAGAAACTCTTACGAAGGGGTTTCAAGATTTTTCTTTTCTCTTATTAACGGAAACTGAGTTCTGGTTTTGGGTGTTTTTCAGACTTTTCTTGTGTTGATGATTTCATGAGAAACAAAAATGTTCTTGACTTTTCTGCATTTCTGGGTTTCTTTTTTATTCTCCAGATTCTGGAAGGAGGAGTTTACCGGTTAAAGAAGAGAAGCCAGAATCATGGGATTGCTCGGAGAAGGAGAACGAGAGAGCGGCTAAGCTTCGGTCGCCTGCTAAGGGCTCCAAGAATTTCATGTCCCCAACCTTTTCTGCAGCTTCAAAGTTCAGTTCATCGCCCAAGAAGAAGGTCTTGGTGGAGAGAAATGAGCCTGTGAGGACTTCGATTTCACTATGCGACGGTAAAGCTACATTCTTTTCGTCTATTTCTTCGGACCCTACAGAAAATTCAATTCCAAAGCCTGAGGTTCGTCCAGGCACAAAATCGTTGAGAAAGGTGACATTTTCTGAGGCACCTTTACAATATGACGATGAGAACGATGTAACCGAGTCTGATTCTCTCAGCAATGAGAAATGTCTCAGACTCCCTTTTCTTGATATGTCTCCTTGTATGAATCACGCTTCCCCCAGACCTAAGTTTACCCTCTACAGCCCAAAACCCAGTCTTGAAGTTCTGAAAAGCACGGAAAAGGGTTTTGACATGGTGGGGGAATCTAAGCGACTAGATGAAAGTTTTGGGTCTGCAATTGTTTCGGAGGATTTGGATTCCGAGTCTCAGAGTGATGATTCCCACACGGAATCAGATGATTCATCCTCTACTACTGAGGAAGAAATGGCAGTAGAGGAAGAACCCAAGTCTTTGGAGGAAGAGGAGGAGATAGGACTGAAACCAGAAGCAGAAAAATTGGCCAAGGAAAGCCATGAGGGGGAAAAGAAAAGCAGAATCTTTATCTGTTTAAAATGGGCTTTTACTGTTTTCCTCCTCATGGTTGCTGCTTGTGTGTCAATCTCAGTTACTGATAGTCCAGTCTTCAATGGTTATGGAGTGGAAGATGCAAATCTTGCTGATCTTTCTTCTTACTGGGGATCACAAGTCCAATCCACTCTGAATGATCATCATCACTTCGGGCGGTTTTTTATTCCTCCTACTTTCCCAACTGATGAGTTGAGTCCAATGTTTTTTACAAACTCAACTTGTCTAGTAGGGGGAACTGAATGGGAATTCAAAGTGGACAGGGTGTTTGAGAAGTTGGAAGAAGAACAAGATCACGAGTTGGACGACGAAGCAGAATCTGAGGATTTGGTTAAAGATGACGAGGTAGAAGAGGAGGCTGACTCAGATATCGAAGAAGAACTAGAAGATGAAGACGATGTGCCAGACATCAAACTAGGAGGGAAACTTGAGGTTGAAAATCTGGCTGATGAGGAGGATGTGGGTTCTGCTGAAGAAGAAGAAATTTCTGCCATTGGATTAGTAGTAGCAAAGGATGATGGTATTATTGAATTGAACAGTCCTCCCATCAATGGTGTTGAATCTGAAGAAGTTCATACTGATTTTGCTGACAGCATGGAAATTTCAGTTCTTGAAGCAGTAGAAAATGATGTTTTGATTATCAATGATGTTCTTCAGCCTGAAGAAGAAGAAGAAGTCCCTACTCATTTTGATGACAACAGAAAAATTTTAGCTCTTGAAGAAGCTGTAGGGGAGGGAGAACCGGATGTTGGCATTGATGATGATGACCATCTTGAGAATATAGCCGATGAAAAAGATGGTTCTTTTTCAGGAGAAGAATCTCCAGCCTCTCAAATGCATCAGGAAGAAGAAGGGAGGAATGGTTTCAACAAATCTCTGGGAATTTCGGCGTCCCCTCTCCTCCTCCTCATCAGTAGTGCAGTGGCAGTTGCTGCAGCAGCAGCAGTGCTCATATCTGTGAAACAAAGCAACAGAATGACAATAGTAGAAGATGAAAAACAAGAAACAGTGGGTAATGCTGTAACAGGTTCTGGCACTTCATCAGAAGAAGTAAGCACATCTGGCAACAGCACAAGCAGAAGAAGAGGAAGAAGAAGAATGGCAGGGGAGGCTGAGGAAGAGGAGAAACGAAAGGCTAGCAGTAGGCGGGAGTCGGTTGCCACTTCGGATTGCTCTTTGGGATCCCTTTCCTACGGGAGCTTCACCACGTACGAGAAGATTCCCCTCAAGCATCACCATCTTGTGAGTATATCAGTATATGCATACAAACCATACATTGTCGTTTTTTCTTGTCATTGTTTTATGTGAAATTTGCACTAAATAGGACTAAAACATAATTACTTTCCTAATGTAGGACTTAAACTTTTTTATTCCCTAAATAGAACTTAATAATGACCTAGTGGAAGAAATAATGTCCAGTAATGATGGTCATTTAGTTGAATAATGACTACTTGATAATGATCAAAGGTCCTATATTGGGAAATAAAAACATAGGGTCCTATATTGGAAAAGTCATTATGTTTTAGTCCTATTTAGATAAATTTCTCTTGTTTTAAAACATCCATAAATTTTGCTGATAATTTTTCATGGTCTGTGTTTGTGTTTGTGTAGGGAAATGGAGGAGGGGACGAAGGGATGACACCGGTGAGGCGGTCAAGCCGAATCCGAAGCCAAGTTATATCTTCTCCATCATGAAATGAAACATGCTTCTTCTTCTTCTTCTTCTTCTTCTGATTCTGATTCTTAGTGTGTAGAATTAGCAGTTGCTTCTTCTTTTTAGTTTTTCCTCTAATGGTGTTTGAAGATGAGAAAGAAGTAGTAATAGAAGTAGTAGTCATAATTAGTCAGTTTCTGACTGAGCCTGAAATAGTCAGTATTGTTTTTCTAATCCTTCTTTGTTTGTTATTAGTCACGACACTCTGTTTATGTATACTAAACTGCCCTCATCCATTGATTTTGGCCTTCCATTTGAATCTGCCCAACATCAACCAAAGCTAGTGCATGCTGTCAATGTTTATAGAAGGGTAAAAAGGACTTTTGAAATCTTAATAATTTTAAATTTTTGGAAGCGTAAAGAATTTAATGGGACAACGAAGAAATGACTGATTGAATATGAGCTTGCGAATAATGCAAGATTTCCTACAATAATACGCATAAAGATGACTGATTTCCTATAATATTATGATTTTTCTACAATAATGAAAGTGTAAAGAATTTAATGGGACAACAAAGAAACAAATCTAACAAAATTTCCTACAATAATACGCATATTTTTTTCTACATATCAGTAATTAAAGATGACTGATTGAATATGAGCTTGCGAATAATGCATCTGGTTCGGAATTGAAAATTTGCTCCCTCAATGCCATAACAAAAGTCTAATATTGTGAATAACCACGCGTGGTTGAATCATTTCCAAATTTATTTAAATAATAATACTTCTTCTAAAATTTTAAAATACAATTTAACTACATTATTTTAATAAATGATTAATGAAAATAAATAAGAAAAAAAAGTATGTGTAATCAACATGAATATGCAAATGTGCCTTAACAAATTACTACATGATTTTCCTTCCTCTTTCAATATCGGTGGGTTGGGTTTCAGATTCTCTCAGTCTACGATTGGAAGTGGGCCTTTTCCTTTTTCTGAAAATGCCCGGCCCATAAGTGGAAGAGACCAGGGCAACAATGAGCGGGAATTGCAAAAGCACAAATGAAGAGACCGGCAAACCCGCAAGAACCGCCACCGCGACAGCGATCGCCGACTGGTTCTGGCCGAACACGAGATAGACGGTGGCGGAAAACGCCGTCATCATGAGAATGATCGAGAGAAACAGCGTCAGCAATCCGATGATGGATCTCCGAGGAAGAGCGAGCAGGAAATCCTTCTCTGCGTATCGCGATGTCAAGATCGAGAGGAAGGCGAGCATCGAGGTCGACGCCGTGAAGAGAGATCCGGCGTTGGCGATGGCGAAGACGGTGAAAGCAGTTTTCTTCGAGAAGATCGGGTGGCCGCTATCGCTGTTGTTTCCCCCGGAACAGTGATTGCGGCGGCGAACGCGACGGTGACGATCAGTGCGGCGGCGATTGTGCAGGAATTCGCCGTGTCCTTCATCAGTTTCTCTCCGTTCTCTTTCAAGTTTTTATGCTCCTCCGTGAACACCGATCTAGGCGTTTTCAAGTCCTTGTTCGTCGTCGACGGGACATATGACGGTACTACCTTTTCCACTGCCTACAAACACGAAATATACTCCATTAATTCACATAGCTTACCTTATCTACTATCCCCATTCAATTTACTTTGCTCATTTTGATTACAGTGAAGAAAAGAATGTTAAAAAATGTTGATATTGATACAAAAATATAATTTTGTTAGGTTTATTTTTTAGAATATTCTTTTATTTAATTAATATAACATATAATTTTTATTTAATTATAAGTCAAATGTTGGACTGATTGCAAAAAAATCAAAACTGCACTAATACTCAAAGACGAAGGTAGTATAGAGTAAGAATTACTTTGGGATCAGATGAAGTATTGTAAGAGCTCAAATTTAGGCCTGTTTTGAACCTGTTAGATCTAGAATTTATCTTTAACCCAAAAAATAGTTGAAACAAAAACAAGTTCCAACTCTATATCATTTCGTGCAAGCAAATTTAGGTTAATCTAAAGTGGAAAAATGACCTCGAACCATTGCAGTTCTAGTTGCATTTGAAGAGCAGCCCCGGAAACAGAATTTAGTTTGTGAGGGGGTGCCAATTTCCCGGCCAAATGTAGCATGCCGTTTCCATGAACATCCACCATTTCTGCCAAATCTCGCATCTGGATGCTCTTTTGACACAGAAGATTAAAGACGTTCTCGCTCCTGTTCTCGACTGCGATGTGAAACACGCTGCACTTGTTGTCGTCCAAACAGTAAACTATTGCGGGGCATGTGTCCAGAATGCTCGTAACTACGGTGTCCATGTCCAGCCGTGCTGCTTCGAACATTGCACTCTTTGCAACGGCAACAACCTGTTTGTGATCTTTCAGGGATTTGATTTTGTTGCACAAATGGTGGAGAAGCTTCTCTGCTTTTCGGTGCATTGACATCTTGTTCTTCATGCTCTTTGGCTGCCACACTAAAAAAACACAAGCTTGATTTGTTTTCAAATTTAAACTTTTCTATTTGGTTGCAGTATGATCATTATCTACTCCCCATGTTGCACAAATTCTTCAAATAAGTAAAGCTTTTTGTCTAGTAAAGCTAGACAAAAAAAGTGAAGCTTTTTGTCTTCTTCTTACTTGGATACATTCTGCCATCAAAATCTTTTATAAAATTTGAAAAACTTGGTATTTTTAAGTATTTGAGCCTAGGTTCTCTTGGAAACCGTCTCTCCTCAGACCCAACTTCTTTGAGACTCTACTAGAGTTCGTTTGTTGTTTGGAAAGTTCATGCTTTTCTTGTTCCCAACCCCATCCCTGCATGAGTACCCGTACCCGTGCAATTAAATATTATTCTGTAATAATAGTGATGAACTAATGAATCAGATGGCAGGGCAGGTATTGAAGGAGAAGGGTGAGACCCACAATAGGATATTGAGTTGTGCCAGAAGCTAAGGTGACTTGTGTTGATGATAGGACAATCGAACTGCACCAGCGCTTGCAATGCAGATGTTTTGCTCTTTAGGAGAGGATGACTAGCCACGTCCGGATTCTTTTCGTCCAATTTCGAGCCAGGTATCTCTGCTACCGATACTCCCAATTCATCGTACTTTACCACCAGATCTAAAGCCAGATCTGAAAATTAATTTATGAATGCATTAGCCATTGTAGTTCAGAATCTTAAATTCTTAATATAAATTTTAGAATTGTGTTTTTAAATGCCTGAGAAAAAAAGTGATGTCTGGTTAAAAAAACTTAACTGTTTGAGAAATTCTTGATGATATACACACAATGCTCTGTAGCAGATGAAATACTCCCTTTTTTTGTTGCATCTCAGTATTTGAGTTTGGAATTGGTAAAATAATTCATCTACTACCCATTACTACATCATTTAATATCTTACATTACTTCACTACTACACCAACCTCAAACTACAATCTCATTTACCCATCTGACTCACTTTACCTTTTTTTAACAATATTCACCTTATACTATCCATCTTTTTACATTCCTCTTTAGTTAACTACCTTAACAAGGACAAAACATGAAAGTCAAACAACTTTTCGTCATACATTAAATCCGCTTCCAAGTTAAAATAGGGAGATACAAATGAGAGTATATATTGAGAGAGAAAAAAGTACCATAGAATTTAGATCCAATCAAGTAGCAAAAGAGCTGCATGGCACTTGAGAGTTCAAATGGATTAGCTGTTGGCACCTGCACCTCCTCGCATTTCTGACGAGTGACATTAAAGAAGAAGGTATAAACGGCCTCGCTCTGGCGGATATTTCGGGCGGCCAAATGGACAGGGAGATCGTGGTGGCCGTCGCTCACGAAAAGGAGACGACAATTCTTTCTAATGAACACTTGGGCCATCTTAGTGTTCCCATACAGGGCAGTCACGTGGAGGGCGGTTCGGCCGTCCCCGTCTTTCTTCCCGAGATCATCCACACTCATGTTGCTCACAATGTTTTCCAGTTTCTCCACGACCCTATCGTCCTCTTCCTCTTCTTCTCTCTTGGAAATGATATGAAACACGTTTTGAAGCTTATCGTTCAGTGGATATATGCACACTTTGTTGTCCTCCTTAACCAACCTTTCTGTCACCTCTAGGTCTCCTTGTACTGCATCATCGTACAATGCCCTATTGCTCCTGATGTCGTCTTCGTTTTTTGTGGCATTATTTATGCCACCTGCAGAAGCAACATTTGGCAGAGTATTATCCTTTTTGCCACGACTTTCACCAGAAGCAACATATGTCCGCGGAGTATCACGGTTTCTGACATGAGTTCCATCAGATGCAGGTGCAGCAGCATCATTGTTGAAAGCTTGAAAAGTCGTTCCGCGAAAACCACTAACATACAATACTAAAATACCACCGACAAAGAAAACAGTTTTGTGTTAGACTTGACAAACATTCAAGCTAGGAACACAAAAAACAATAAACATTGCAAATTTTCCATTGGGCCCAAAACTTGCTCCCTGAACAACTTTCGGACTCAACGGAGCATCGTAAAGGCCAGTGCCATAGTATGTCACTAGAGTCCAGTGTCAAATTATCATTACTAGTAATCTGTAAGAGAAAAACATATAGGGAGGGGTATGTATACTTTTGCAATTCAGTTGAGGGGAAGCTTTGTTGGGAGAAGGAGCTGTTTCCTCAATTCTGTAGTCTTCCATGGTTGGCAGTAATTATTCAGAGCATAAAGATGGAGATCATAGAGTGTGAAGATGGCCATGTTCTGATTTTATATGGGTAGCTAGGGCCCACAGTTGGTTCTTGGATGGTAAAGTGTGAAGATGGCCATGTTCTTTCAACTTTTTTAAATTACAGTTTTCATAATTTACAGTATTCAAGATCATATTATCAGTTTCTAGTTATTTTGTTGGAGTTAATAATTTTCTTTGGTTTTATAGTATATATAGGATCTATTATTTTCCACTTAATGCGGTGCATTAGTTATCCTGATTTTAGCCTCTACTTAAAAATAAGATCTTAAAATTAAGATGAAAAGAATATGCTCTTAATATATGGTTCAAAATTTAGTTGCCAGACCCTAGACATCGGATTCCAGTTAGAATTTTAAAATCATTTGTGATATAAGTAGTACTCCGTATCATTTTTTGTACATTTTGTTCTTTGGAATGAAATTTGTATAATTTTTTAAATTTGTGTTCAACTAAATTGAACCGTACTGAGGGGGGAGCCTTAGAAGTGCCATTTTCACGAGTTTGGTTTTCCCTCGAGTAAGAACTATGAAGCATGATTAATGCTTTAGTTTTTTTTCTTTAATGCACATAAATATTACGGAATAATAGTGTTTACTTTTTTTTCCAACACAGTAACATCTCTATCAGTCTGTTTTTAAATGTGTAAAAAAAAATATGGGAAAAAGAATTAAACAAAAAAAAAAGAATTGAGGAAGTGTAAAAGAGCACCCTGGATTATCGTCAATCTGGAGTTATTTGATTTGCAAAATCGCGATTCTTTGCTTCATTGGTGCTAAAGCAGTCCTATGTTTAAACAAACAAAGCCAAATGTAAATGGTTAAGAATAATTTGCTTTTCATCAAGAAATGACTTCTATTATACGGAGGAAGTAAGTTTCCACCATTTGGAAACAATATACCGAAAGTTTATACATCATGGTTTGATTTCACCGAATTTAAGAACAAATTTTGAAAACATAAAAAGTGTATGATGAAAATTTGTTTGGAAAAGAAGGCGTTGTTAAGAGTCACATATTTTATTCTTAAACAAAAGAAGTGAAGTACAAATTTTGTTTTGGAACAGACGAAAAGAAAAAAATTGAACCATTTTTTTGTTTAAGTTGAAATTCTAGTCGTCTGATATATCTTTTTTGGTATTACTTTGGTCTTTCTCCCATGTCAAAAATGTTTTCACACTTGTATTATTTCTACTCTGTAATTTGACCTTTTTTCTCGTCGAGATGAGATTATTGTACTCTTTTCATCCTCCATATATCTTCCTATTACGCATTACGAAGCATGACGTACGATATTCTTGATTTAATTTATTTGATTTTAGATATAAAATTTAAAAATAAAATTTCTATGCTAAAAAAGTATATTAACAATTTTACAAAACAAGAGATAATAAGACTATATTAATTTATGAAATGATTAGTAAAAATAAGTCAATAAAATGAGTTATTTCTTACTCACTCCGTCCAAATTAAATTATTTGTTACTATTCACGTGATCAAACTTAATTCATTTTCTTTGTTTATTCTTGTTACGCATTTTGTAAAATAATATAGTCATGTCACCTATTGTTTCGTAGAGCTTTTGATGTACTTTTTTATCCTTCCGTCTTAAAATGTTCTTTCCAGTTACTTTTCACACGGTCAAACTTTAATCACTTACTTTACCTATTTTCGTCAGGTATTTGATAAAATAATATAATCTTGTCACGATTTATTTTGTAGAACTTTTGATGTACAATCAAATAAATTAAATTAAAAACAAAGTCGGTCAAATCTCATAAACACAAACAGAAAGAATATTATAGGACGGAGAAAATAAATAAATTTTATTTTTTAAATTCACTCCAATTTTCTAATTAATTAGATTAAAAATAACTCTATCAAACATCCGAAATCCGGAGTACGATTGATTTAAATTGGGAGGGAATAGTGTTGGGTGGGCCGATGAAGGAGGGGGTGTAAGTCCTCCATATCTTCAAAAAAGAAAAAGAAAAGTGTGTCCGTCCACGGTGTAGCAACAGGGAATGAGCATATTGAACGGCGGCAATGGGAGATTTTGGGGAATGGGATCTCCCCATTCCGGGGACTGGAATCGACGGAGAAGAAGAAGAGGCAGAGGAGGAGAGAAGGACGTCCGAAACGGAGAATCCGGCGCCGCCGGCTCCAACTCCCTCGATGCGACTCACGGCGCCGGCTACCGATTCCCTTCCAAACAAGCCCTCACTGCCGGATCTCTCGCTCTCACCGGAGACACCATCGCTCAGCTCCGAGATCGGTGGGTGAGGAGCAAGGACGTTCTTCCGAAACATCCGCAGTTGCAGGTTTGAAACCGTTATTTATTGGTAAAAGCCAATCTTGGTGCTCAAATAATCGACATTGATTTTGTTTCCCATTTATATTTCAGTACTTAGATGAGTGAAATGGATGATGCTTTGAAATGGTATTTGTAAGAATTTTTGTTGCATTTAGCTCAAAATAGCCAATTATGCTCAAATCATTGAAGAATATAAGTCCCAGAAAACATAGGCATAGTCAATTATGGTATTTGTGGGGATTTTGTTGCATTTTAGTTCAAAGAAGGATGCAGTATGCAATAGGAGTAAAAGATTTCAAGAAGTTCTATTCTATGTCAACAAGCTGAAATTCTATAAATTTAAAAGTTTTTTTTTTGGGGGGGGGGGGGGGGGGGGNTAGGCTCGTAAACGTGGTTTACATGCTAGATTAGGCACAAACCATGTGAAACTCATGTGTATAATCTTTGTCACCATTCGTGTACATGTATAAATTTGAAACTGTTGCTTAGTTCTAACCAAATTTACGATTCTACATATTTACTACATGCAATTTGAATCCCAATTCTAAGGTAAAATTGGTCTACATCAGCCCGTAATTTACAAAGGTAAAATCTTTGTCAGAGCAGGTCATTTTTTAACTATATATTGCACCATTGACTTACCCTAATACTATCCGAACTTTCCGAAAACTCTGGGGTGCCTATTAAAAAGAAGCTAAAATATGAGGTGCAAGAACAATGAGTTCAACAACCTTGTTTGTAATAGTGTGGACCATGGATGCAGTTCTTCAGTTTCTTGTTCTAATCATTTGAATATGACCTCCTGTTTTTTGTTCTCATCTAGTTCCCTATTGCCTGTGCCTTCTTACATGCATTTTCTGGTTTAAATTAAAAAGCAAACTATTTGTGCCCTAAAGTCGACCTCCTGGTGTGATAGGATGTCGCAGGAGTTCTGCTTTCTGAGCATGATTGGCTCCGAGCTCTCCGGATGACTTCATATGGGTTCTTGCTATATGGACCTGCTACGTTTTCGTGGTACAAGTATCTTGATCATTGCATGCCAAAGCCATCAGCTCAGAATTTGTTCATGAAGGTGCATTGTGCTTCTTGTTATTTTTAAATTAATTCTTACTTCTCTGGGAGTAGGAATATCATATAAGATGAATGATTGTATGTCATAAGAGAGAACGGTTCTTGGTTGCAGGTTTTGCTTAACCAAGTTGTACTCGGCCCATGTGTGATTGCGGTTGTTTTTGCATGGAACAATTTATGGTTAGGGAAACTCTCTGAGCTTCCGAATAAGTATCGCAGAGACGCCCTTCCTACTCTTCTTTTTGGTATTTATAATTTCGCTTTCCTGCTTCCTTTTTGCCACTTTTTTTTTACAGACACCCCCACAAAGAATAACACCTGTTTTCCCTTGCTTGTGTACAGGATTTAGGTTCTGGATCCCTGTCAGTGTTTTGAACTTCTGGTATGTCTTGTCTCCAACTAGACATTTACAATTTTTTTTATCATCATTGAGACCTCTTAGGGGGGTGTTTCATGTTTGGTTGAGGAGTTATCATATTACTTTGGTATAAGATCACTATGGTAATTGGAGATTACATCCTTGTAGGAAAATGAAGTAAAATTGGTGTTTAACTACTTTGCCTTAGTCTATAACAACTTTCTTGTAAAGATATGGTCATCAAATGTTAATATAATGTGCTTTTGGGAACTGTTTGAGAATATTTCAGGGCAGTCCCTCTTCAAGCTCGAGTTGCTTTCATGTCAATGGCCTCTATATTCTGGAACTGCTGCTTGTCTGCAACTATGAACAAGAAGTAGAAGAGTCCATCTGGTCCTCTACTCGGCATAGGTACCCTTTTCAGTGGCCTTGGAGAGCAAATCAATAAGAGGTCTTTCTAATTGGGGTTGAGAATAGGCAATGACCGATAATACGGAGTATTTGGTTAGCGTGTATTTTTATTTGAGTATTACTTATTCTTATTGTAATTCATATCAGAAATAACTTCAAATAGAATTTGAATCATACCAAATTAGATTAGACAAAAGAGAATGAACTTTTAGCACTACTTCCTACATTAAAAAAAAAGAATGTTTGGGCCTTATTTCTAGAACTTTTGATCTATTTGGAAAATTAGCTGAATGGTTGGAGGCACTGCAGCCTTTACAGATTGAGTTGGAAAAACTTCATGAGTTAGTTATCCACCTAAAAAATTGGCCAAAACAAAACTTTAGTACTCTAAGACCTTGAAATTAAAATTTTTTTAAAAAATAGTGTTGCTCTCTATAGACAAGCATTTGAACCTAAGTTTTGTGATTTTTTTTAAACAATTTGAAAATAATGAACGTGTAGCTTGATTTAGACAATTTTTTCAAGCTTGAAATTATACAACATTTTTTTACATGCAAAAAAACATTTTGACCAAATTGTGAGTTTTTTATGCATTTAAAAATTTACAGGAATGATTGCTTCTTTCTATATAATGAAACCACCATATATAGCAATAAAACATAAAAAAATATCAAAATAGAAGTTTCATTTTTTTATCTCCAAAAATAAGAGTTTGTATTGTGTATCAACTTTTGTTTGATAATAATGTATATGATCATGGTTGGTATTGTATATGTATTTTAACTCCTATTTAAAAAATAAATTAGTCTTTTTCTCTTCTATATTTTACTCCTTCAATTTTTCACTTGTTTTGCATGAAAAACAAAATAATTAGACCTATTTTGGTGAGCTTTTGACTCATTTGGAAAAAATGGCCGAAAAATCGTTTCCTTCGAGATCCGAAAACAAAATTTTAAATGAATATAGCTTACTAAAGAGTACAATGTTTCAAATGTAAAACACTTTACCATATGTACCTCTTAAAGACCCGAAACAAAAATTTTAAAAGAGCATTCTCTTCTATTAACATGTCTTTTAATACTTAAAACTGTACAACTAGTTTTACATGGGAAAAAAGGAAAACATGGGACAATTTTTGCAATGTTTTGGTTTAAAAAGCATAATAGTACCTCTATGAGGTCATAATAAAAAAAATTAAATGAATAGAGCTATTTATAGACAAGCCCTTCATACTTTAAACTAACCACATTTTTCGAATGCTAAGTGAAGCATTCATACCAAACTTTTGTAGATTTTTTTTACCCAAAAAGTGGGTTTATACCCCTAGAGCCTCCAAATTAAATATTTAAATTAGTGCTCTCTAAAAACAAGTCTTTTAGTCCTAAAAGTTTTACAAGTTTCTAAATGCATAAAGAAACATTTGGGCAAAGATGCATTAGTTCTTTATCCATCAAAAAATGGCAAATATGATGATAATCCCAACGATTCGAAACCAAAATTTTAACGACTGTTGCTTGATAGCCTGAAATTTTACATGTTTCTACATGAAAAATAAATATTTTGGCCAAATTTCATAAATTGATCATTCATTTGAAAAAGTGGTCGAAAAAAAATTACATTTCCTTAAGAATTCAGCTTTAAGGTTAAATTTACAGGATTAGAAAATTACTGTAATGCTAATGACAAACATTGCTTCCAAAGAGAAACATAACAAGCAAGCATTTACAAGTGCCAATACATTTGTTTTGAAGGGTAAAAGAGCAACAATAGAGCCAGTAAAATTCCACAAAAAGTACAGTCCGAGATAAAGGGCAAAAAAAGCTTGAAGATTTATTGGTGTCTGAGAACGTACACACGATGAAGTGTGTCAAGGTGGAATATTACATCATATTAATGCCCCTTTAAAAAGGCCAACAAAAATGAGTCATGCAAATATGGCAACAAAAAAGAGAGGCAATGAATCAAGCAGAAAACCTGTGTAGTATATTGCAATTCCATGACCATGGCCACATCATTATGGACCATGCCAAGAACTTCGTGAACCTGGTTCACTGCTACCCTTCTAATGCTTACCTCATTTTCAAAACAAAAAGCCTAAACTCTTCGACCCGGAATCCCAAGAAAGCTTGTCATTAAAAAATGATAAAATTTTGGTTATCTGACAAAGGAAACATAAAGTGAAGCAGCAGCTGCTATGAAGTGAATTGTGGCATACCTAAGCAAAGTTTGCCTCAAGTGATCTTTTTATGAGAAATCTTATTGGGAATTCGTATGGTTCTCACATTTTGTTTCACTTGTATTGCCGAGTAACCTCATATGCAAGCTTATCCATGAACTGGCATTTATTGTGGAACCCCCACCCAGGGTTGCTCTGCATTAGGTAAAAATGATATTAATAAATATATATTAATATATATATATATATATATATATATATGCATGTCAAATGCATGTGTTCTCTCCTAGTTAATGATTAAAAAAGTTAACATCTTGTATACAAAAGCAAGTGCAGAGAAGCACATCAGAGTAACTGAGAAAATGTTTTCTCAAATAAAAAAAGTTGAAGAATATTAGTATGATGAATTTAGAATAAATCAATCCTCCAATAGTTTCAGCACTTCCAATTTCAATGAATGGAGTAAAAGAAATCCCATAAAATATCAACTCAAGCCACAATATGACAATAGGTCTTCTTTCTACACCTTGATTCAACCAAATTCATAGAGATGTTTTTCATATGTATTTCCCTGTTAAATATCATTCTCCCCCTGTGAAGGGTTTTTGTGGTCAACTGTCAAAGATGTTGGCTATAGTAAAAAGGACAAATGTATCCTCTGCATTAATACCATGCCACCCTCTTAAGGTGTTTTCTTATGTATGAACATAAACCGAATCATTAATTTCTAAGCATTATTTTATTTCTTCCTGTTTTGAGCATTCATCTGATTAATTACTTATAGGCTAACATAATGCTGGAGTGATTCTTTGGTTTATTTCTCTGATCACAAAGGCTATGTTTGGAACTTGTGATTTTGAATTAAATGTCTATTTTCTCACAAATTTTATTTCCTTCCAAGTTCCAAATTCCATCTCTATTTTCCTTTCTCCAGACATGAAACACCTCCTTAAGATAAATAGTGACAGATAAGCATATACTCATTCCATTCCTATATAGTGATTTTGATTCGGTTTACGATGTTTGATTAAAGTTAGAAATTAACCTGCAGTGACTGAACAGCACGGTCTGTGAACTGCTTCACAGAATTAGGAATACTCTGTGGAAGAGTTGCTGCAACTCTTTTCAGCTCCTGGTGCTGCTGCTTTGCAGTTACTCTGTCAGGGCCACTGTAGTGGTCAACTATCTCTTTAAGAAGCGGGAGCTTGACCTCCATTGTATCTTTCATTATTTCCTGTGTATTAATAACAACCACAAGGCAACAACAATAATGCCATACCAATATTTAAAAAAAACAGAACCTAGAGGAACAGACCGAACAGTATATGGCAGAGCATATATTTTGTTCACACAATCACAAGTGGATGATAATATAAAGTGCTAAGCTATGATGTGGAAAAAAGTTTGGTAGATCATAGAATATTTGATACATGGATGTTGTGAGAAGAAAATTTCTAGAGATATCTGGTAGTTGGCAGAACCGGGAGCCTTAGGTCGCTTTTCTAATTTTCTTGGTTGGCATGTCTTTATGCCTTTTATTGTACTTAAGACCGTATGTGTCTTTTTTCTTTAGTCGGTAGCTTGCGCTTGTAGGCTTTGAGCCTTGTTGTTTGGGTTGGTATGTGTACTTCTTCACACTCTATTCTCTTTAATCATACTTCGTAGTTCTAATGTGATTTTGTTTGCCTGTATTTTTGTATTTAACTTGGGGGTCACTTGGAAACACCCTCTCTACTTTCAAGTAAGGATAAAGTCTGCGTACAATCACCCTCTACAGACCCTACTTTGTGGGAATTTACTGGGTTTTATTATCAATTGTTGTTGTTCTTGTTACTCGGTAACTAACACAAGTACAAATGGGACACCTGCATTCCTAGAGGAATAATTTTTCGAGACAAATGTTGTGCTTTGAAAGAAACTTTTGATTATGGTGATTTCAAGTTTTTTTAATATACCCACACAGGGTTTGTTTGGCTTGACATTTACCAAGGAGAGTGGGGAGGGAAGCCATTGCCTCCACTCCTCACATTTTGATGCCCTATGATTTGAGGGCTTTTTAGGGAGCTAGTATTTTAACTCAACATACCATTCCCTTCCCCTCTCCCCTCCAACAAATCAAATTCAGCTACCATTATACATTGGCTTCCCAATTCCCATCCCTCTCCTCCCTTTCCCTTTCATCCCTTTGAACTAAGGGAACCCTCAATCTACAGCATGTGTTTTTATTTTACCAAAATAGCTTTAGCCTTTTGGAGCAAAAAGTGCTGTCTTAAAAGCCACAGCAATACTGGGTCATTGCCCTAATATAGAAAAAATCCTTACATGAGTTACATCTTAGAAAGCCCAACATTATCAAGCAAAGCAAAAACAAATTTCAGTGACCAGGATTAAGAAGATAAGTGAATGATCCCACACTAGAGCAAAAAATGATGATGATGATGATTTTTATTATTATTAAAGATATTTGAAGCATAACACGAAAATCTATGCAAAGCAAACTATGCTAGACCTACCTCCCACTCTTTTTGGCTTTCAATTCCTTCGTACGCCATAAGGAATGGCTTCATCTTCTCAAGAGCATCACGCAGAGAGATTGGAGGCTTCTCGTCAATATCTGGATTCTTGTCAAAGTCTCCCATCATGTACTCCTCTTCACATTCAATCTGCCCGAAAAACAAAAACAATAAAAATGCCAAACAAACTGCGGAAATTTTGTCTGCTAAGACAAAACAGGCAAACAAGAACGTACATACCTTTAAATTTGTATCAAGGGCATCAAGGTAAGCATCCTCAGCAGGAGAGGGAAAGACCCTGTGAGCAAATTCTTCAACGCCTTCAGCTAATTGACTGGCGAGATCAGGACCAAACTGTTGAACCAATTTCTCTGTAGCAGCATCATCACCAATGTCAAATACACCACCAAATTTCTCATGGACCACTTCCTGTAGAGCACCTTCTCCCCTCCCTCTTCCTCCTCTTCCTCCTCTTCTCCCTCCTCTTCCTCTATCTCTGAACCCACCACGTCCCCTCCATGAAGCTACTCCTCCTCTTCCACTCCCATCACCACCACCACTAGAAACCGACCTATTATTTGGATCATCCCTGCTGCTGAACCCCTGTCCAGGACGCCTGCTGGCTTCATTTCCACCAGATTGAGGAGTTTGTCTCGCCCTTAAATGCCTGTTTTCTTCCTTAGGTTTTTCACGAACAGGAGCTGTCTGTTTGGTCGTTCCACGTCCCACACCAGATAGCACGGAGAGGATATTTGCAGGGAGTCTGGGAGCATCGCTGGAATCAACAGACGCTTTAGGCTGAGATTCGAGAAAGCCTTCTTCTTTTACAGAGAACATAGGATTATAGGAATCCCTATGTTGAAGCGGCACCTGGTGGGATGGTTGTGGCGGTGGTGGTGCAGAAGTGGGGCCGGAAATTCCTCGGCCACGGCCAGCAGGGCCGTTGTAATCACCCACAAATGAAAACAAGGGCTTTCCGCTTCCACGGCCATGCCCAAATCCACTTTGTTTCCGTGTGGAAGCGGACTCCTCGTCCTTGGCATCGCCAGGTTCACTTTGGTTAGGAGAAAATCCGAAGGCGGGGGAGTTACCAGAGCTAAATCCACCACCTCCACGACCCCGGCCCCATCCTCCACCGCTGCCGCCAGCGGAAGTTGAGAATGGAGAAGAAATGAAAGATTGCTGACGGGAGATACTGCTGATCGAGCAGCGTGGAAGCTTTCCCCAGCTATGGCTCATATTCAAACCCCACTTGGGATCAATCGGCAATTCGTTGCATACAGAACTGAGTCTTCTGGAAAAATTTGATGCTAGGGTTTGTAGTTTTGGGAGGTTTTGGATTTGTCAGCCATCCACTGGGACGAACAAAAAAGAAAATACGAATTTTGTCAGAGAATGGATGAAGTAAGAATGTTCTCTTCACTTGTGTATATGGGTGTGACTAGGGGTGAGCATGGTACGGTATTTAACTCGTATCGATACCGTACCAAATATTTCGGTTCGGTGTGGGATTTTACTCTGTACCGATCCCGATCCTGAAATATCGGTTCGGTATGGTTCGGTATCGGTTTCGGTACAAATCGGGATGAATATACATACCTACTTTACACATTAAAATTTAACAACGTCCCTTTATTTTTGAAAATTAAAAGTGAATTTAAATAAAAAACATGAAAACTTAAAAAAATAAATATTTAAATGCAAGAGATGCGCATCAAAACTTAGTTAGTTAATTTATATTTCACAAACTAAAAAAATGAACGACAACAAAGGAGTATTTTGAATCTTTATGAATACTTTTATATTCATACACAAAAACTAAAACTCAAATAAAAGTATAATTTACACATAATAGAACTTGAACCGATTTTTTTAATTATTATTTAGTGAAGGAATATAAAAATATTATTTTGGGGTATTATTTTTTAAAATATTTTAGTATATATGTTCGGTTCGGTATTTTCGGTATGGGACGTCACCTCGTACCGTTCCCAAATACCGTACCGACCATTCGGTTCGGTACGGTTCGGTTCCTTCTCGATACTTTTTCGGTTCGGTATTTTTCGGTTCGGTATTCTCGGTTTTTTCGGTAAATTTCGGTATCGGTTCGGTACTTGCTCACCCCTAGGTGTGACGGGCGTATAGAGAAATTTTGGGTGAAAACTTGTAGGGCATTAATAAAAAAATAACAGTTCATAAAATTAAAGGTTACAGTTAGCGTTACATTCTAAAAATAATTGAAAATCAATAAGTCTAAATTGAAAAAAATAATAAATTAACTTAGTTTTAATTTTAAAAAACTAGATCTTAATACGTAGTATAAAGATATGATAATTAACCTAATCTCAAATGATAAATTCATACTTCACAAATCCACAAATCAACAATTCACATATCATCCTGAATAAATCAATAGCATATTGTATACTTGGTCCGTCCCTGAGTGTTTGTCCACTTTTGATTTTTGGAACTGTTCATCTAAGCGCTTTGACTCATCAAATTTTTTCAATGTGTAAGCCTAAAAATAGTCATGTGTGATCTTGTTTGATTCGTCTTAACATATAGATTCTTAATATATAATTTTTATAATTTTTTAATATACAAATTACAAGATAAAATGGATTAAAGAAGTGCATTGGATGGTGTGCAAAAATGAAAATGAAAGTGGACAAACACTCAGGCACGGAATCAGAGTCACGGAGACCGGGAACGGCGCACACGGCGGAGGCTGGAAGTGTACTGCCGGAGCTCTGATGGTGTACGGCGAAGCGGCTCACGGCAGCGACGGAGGCCAGTTCGTCTCGTTCTGCTGGGGAGTCTGGCTGCGGGCGTTGATGCCTCTCTAGTGGTGAAGTTTAGGGATTTAGGTTTTGTTTTAAAAACTTAAAAAAGAGAAAAAGAGAAAAAAATGTGTTTAAGATAAAAAGATAGAGTATCAAATTAGAATGATTTTTCCAATATTTTAATCTTATTTAGAATGATTTTTTGTGTCAAATTGATTTCAAATTTTTTCGAAAACCCACAAAACTAAACTGAGAAATATTAAATTAAAAAAATAGAGAGTTTATATCTACACTCCAGAATTTACTAGTGACACTCCACATTTTTAACTTTTTCATATATTGACAATATTGCCCCTTTAATTAGAGATAAAAAATGTAGAGTGCCACTAGTTAATTTTCCATGTCAAAAATCCAAAATTAAATATTTATACTAATGTATTACACTATTACTTCCCATGTCACAAAAATATCGTATCACTTCAAACAACGTAATTTTTTTTTAATTTTTTAAATTATTTAATTTACAATTTGGAATAAAAATAATATGTAAAATTACATATTTCAAAAATACATCAAGAATTCTATTCTATAAAAGATATGATAAAAAAATATTTTTTTATTAAATAATTAATGAAAACATAAATAAACAAAAATTATGATGAAACAAATGGTAACTGGGACGGAGTGAGTATATAAATTTTGTAATCTTTTTTATCTTATTGTATTGAACACTAGCTAATGATTATATTGCAATATAGTAACTACTCTTATTTCTTAAGGTATTAAAACACATAGAATTATTGTCCCACTCGAATTCAAGTTTCTAACCTCATATTTAGAAGAATCACTTTCTTCCCCACCCTTTAGCCTTAGTTTTGTGATTTGTTATTAACAAATGGTTGATCTCCCAACTCTACCAAGTTGTCTCTAATGTGAATGACTTGTAAACCGAGTTGTCTTTACTTAGTAACTTCAACAATTATCATTTCAAAGAAAAGTATGCCACAAACTTGGAAGATAAGAAATGCGAAGATTCACCAGAAAACTTACACTTTGGAAGCGGCTATAAGGAATGCAAGTTTTTATTTCAAAAATTACTCTCTGTATAGATGCAAATAGTATGCTGTTAAGCTTATAAATGATGTAATCTTTTGAACAGTGGGGTTGTTAATGAAAGAAATGTATTTACGTTCAAAAAAAAAGTATGACATATTTATACATCCAGCACACATTGTACACAAGATCCTCAAAAAAAACAAGACCTTTGAACGTTGAACCTTTGTCTTACATATATATATATAGAGTACTCCATTCACCCCATATTAGTTGTCTATTAACATTTTCTAGATACTATAAAACATAAATGAACGTAGACATCCTTTATGTCTAGATTCATTCACTTTTTAATTTATCTAAAAAGTCATAATGAACAGTTAATATGGAATGGAAGGAGTATTACTTAACACATGTTTTTAAAAATTGGACCATAAAATATCGGGAGCCCCATGCAAATGCCTAATTTGCCTAGGCCTAGAGACGGCTCTGAGTTACCGAATAGTGTAAAGGTGAAGCATGGTTTTGCCCCAACCTGCAACAGTCATTTGCAGCCATTGAACTCTCATGATTGTACCTGTTCAACAGCTCAAGCTTCTTTGTACTTCGCGGACTCACGCAGGGCGGGCATGCTTTGTGCTTTGGCTGCCCTTTTTTATTTGGTTGGAGTAGATGAATCTGAAGAGGACAAATATTTGATAATTTAAGATTCATTTCAGCCGAATAACCAAGTCAAAACTTTGCTAGTGATGGGTCTGCAAGCTACTAAAATAATATACTGGCCACAATAATGAAACAAAATAACCATTTTTCAAATAACATCTTCAGCAATGTATAAACAGGAAATCAAGAAAAATGACAAAATCAGATCTCCTTCCAACCAAAGATGTGCAATTGCACACACATGATCAAATAACCAAAGTTGAATAGATATGCATTTTTTGCGCTGCATTGATGCATGCAGATATAAATAACAGAAAGTTTGTGTACGCGATTGCAAGAATTCAGCATTTGATCAGATTGCCTTACTTTGAGTTTCCCCCATGAATGACATCCTTCTCACAAGTACAAACTTTGGCTGGCACTGGATGACTGCTTGGAGACTAGTTATCCCTGAATTCCCTGTTATAGTGCTATTCCAAAAGATAGCAAGCACTCCCTCCTTGCCATAAAAAAAGACCCTTTTCAAAAGTTTATTGGGAAAAAAGGTCTCATGTTTTATGAAGCAAAGCTAGTTTTTCAAGAAGTTTTTCCAATAGTTCACCAAAACAAATGCTATGAAAATTTTATATCATATATACTCTCTATGTCCCACAATAATGTTTACACTTTCCCTTTTGTTTATCCCAAAACAAATTTTACACATCTCGCATTCCCTTAATAAGAAAGAAATATGCTGCTCATAACATTTCTGTCTTGTACTCCGTATATAAATTTTCAATGACCCACTTTGCACTTTTAACAACTAAACATTGTCAAAAACACTGAAGCTGCACTTTGACTAAACAAGAATCCCTTTTTAAGGCAGGGGAGAAAAAAATTCACCTCCATTGCCGGTAGCGTGGTGAATTGGAGATCCACCTCTGATGTACTGAAACGTACGTTTTCTCGAAAAAATTCTGCTAGTTTTGTGATAATGGCTATCCATAAGAGTGGTTTGCAGATTGGAATGATAAAATGCAGGACACGATCACCTCATAGGCAATGCAATGTCTTTGCCACACGTCTTTTCTACTGTATCTTTTTTGCTTCATGCGTTAAGCCAGAACGACAAAGACCGTTGATAACTGCTTCTTTATCAGATTTTAGAACTTCCACACCTCTTCTACCACAAGAAAGCAACAGCTCAGAAGCTTCACGAAATCTCTTAGACTTGCAAAGGCCGTTCAGCATTGATGAATATGTAAAACCATCCTTCTCGGCCATTGAATTAAACACTTCCAATGCTTCGTCAATGTGACCAGCTTTGCACAGCCCATCAATAAAGCAATTGAAAGCAACCAAGTTCGGTACAATCCCCAACTTGTTCATATGGTCCAAGTGTTTAAGTGCCCCTTCTATATCTCCAGCCTTACACATCCCATCTATCAAAATAGTATGTGTGTATATGTCACACTCCAACCCTCTTCTTTCTGCGTCTTTCACCAAAAAGAAGGCATCTTCCATCTTTCCGCTCTTACAATAAAGATTAATAATATTGTTATAAGTCACCATATCAAGATCAATCTCATAACTAATCATATTATCCACACATTCAAGAGCTTCCTCTGTCTTACCCGCCTTAAGCAAGCAACTAATCACTGTACAGTATCCGTGTGAATCAAACACATACCCTTTGCTTCTCATGTCTCTAAGGATTTGAAGCCCTTCTCCATATCGTCTTGAACTAAAAAAGCATTTCATTATTGTGGTATACGTGACAGAATTAGGGGTATGGCCCATTTCCACAAGTTCTTTCAGAAGCGTTCTGGCAGATGCAGGCCAGCCCAACTTGCAAATCCCATTAATAAGGATGTTGTATGTTACCAGCTGAGGAATGAAACCCTGTTGTTTCAAGTTCCTAAATAGCTTCATGGCGTTCTTTGTGTATCCATTTGTGCAAAGACCGTTCATTAGGATGTTAAACGTTGCCGGACCTGGTGGGATGCCCTTTAAAAGAATGTCCCTGAATATCCTGTAGCCCTCGTGTGGTTTTCCAGATTTAAAATAACAATGCATCAATGTGTTGTAACTCCAAATGTCTGGAAAAATGTCTGATGCAAGCATTTCACCAAACAGAGCTGTGCAACGGGATAACAAGCCATTTCTGGCGGCACCAGATATCAATGAATTATATGTTATGACATCTGGTCTAATCCCAGATTCTTGCATTCTATTAAGGATAGAATAACCTTCATTGATCCCGTAAAACTGACAATATGCTGCTATCAGAGTGTTATAGGTTACCACATCCAGCTGTACTCCAACCCTTATACCATCAATTATTAATTCTTCTGCTCTCTCCAGTTGTTTGGATTTACAAAAGTTTGCTACACTAACATTTAAAAACTTTGTTGATAGTGCACTCTTATTTCTCCACATCAACTCCAACCTATAACACATCAAGTGAAATTTCCTTGTGTCATCACAATCTATATTTATAAAATATGAAAGTAGAAAAAAGGTAAAAATGCCAAATCCAAGTAATCCCCTAAGCACCATAAAGAGAAAGATGCATTTGAGAAGCAAAATAACTAGAGATATCATAAAGTTTAGTTGGAATACGCTATACAAAAAATCAAATACAGTATCATTAAAATATGTAATAGTGATTCAAACATAATGACTCTACACCAGAAACATGTAGACTTTCTTCTACGAAATATTTATTTTTACTTTAAATCTCTCAAGAAGAACATACTATTGTGAAATTTATGCATTGGCTTCAAGAAATCAAGCTATCAAACATCAAGGTTCCATTACATTAATGTACTCTGCTATATGAATGTGATAACTTTGCCAATGAAGGTCATGACGAGAGAATTGTGCCTATGTGTAGGATGAAACTTTCACTTTTCACCTTCACAACTCTTTTTTGCTTTCTAAATCAGTCAGTGGATTACCAGAGCTCAGTGCGTCAATGGGAAATAGAAATAAGTTCACTTTCATTGGAAAACCAGCGGCGCAAAAAAATACACATTACGCGCAGAGGTAACTCAACATTTCTTAGTAGTGCTAGGCTAGACAATATGGCCAGCTATTACTATTAACAAGTAAAAATGTACTCACTCCCTCTGTCGCACAAAAAAGGTTCAAACTTTCCCTTCAAGTCCTTAATGTCTCAATTTCTTTTTAAGGAAAGAATTGTGAGGCTCGACAAAAATCTCAACCATGAAATTTTACTTTTTTTAATGAAGAAGTGGGCTCAAATGTGGAACCCTTCAATGGAACATGTAGTACATCTTAACACATTCAAAGCTGAAATTTGCATGTTCAGCACTTGTCATTGCTGCTTGAAGAACTGTAGAAGTAAAGCTAACTTCATAAGAGTGTGGACTTGAATGAATCACATAGAGTATCTTGCCATAAGATTAATACAAAAAAAACAATGGATGGATGATCAGTTAATCCATTGAAGTGGGCAAAAGAAAGCGATTGATTAATCTAACAAAAATCAAGAAAACCAAAATTATAGCATTTAATAGATACATTTAAACATCAACCGCAAATTGATTGAATGCACAGTATCGGGTAAAAGCCTAAGGATGCGAAAATCGTTAAATACTCGCGAGTAGCTAAAATGATGAACTGAATTTTGAAATTGAGAATTACAAGCAAGTATCAAATCTAACCTGAAATGGAATGATTGAAAGACAAGGTCGGCGCTAGTGATTCTCCTGAGATTGAATAATAGAATAAATGAAGCAGATAGCCGGACGAACCAACTGAAGCAGAGACAGGGAACTTGGGGAGATCGCCTACAACAACAAAAACATCTCTAGAAGACAATACCGCCGTCGGCGTGGTGGTCCGGTGGACGCGAAGTAGAGATCTTGTCCCTGGCCGGGTGGTCGGCGGGGTCGTCAGTTGCAGCGGCAAGGATGACCGGGTTCGCACCACTGACCTCTCTAGGCGGCAGCAGTCTCCGCCACCATCTCATTTGGAATTTTGGGCTTTTCAAAAGAAAAAAAACATGATTTCGGAAAAATATTCTGGGCCGGTCATCTAAGGACAATGATTTGGACTCAGTTTTTCAATCGGCCCAATATTGAAAACGGACGGATTAATCTAACCAATTTTTTTCCTAATAACCAAAACCGAAATCGAACTTTTGATTAGTTCATTTTCTTAACATCAATTCGACGGTCAGTTCAGGTAAATGCTCACTCCTGCATAAACTACAGTGAGTACATACAAGACCATAATTCTATATGCTTAAATAGATTGAAAGTATGTGTGTGTGTGTGTGTGTGTATATATATATATATAACATTGTAATAGCATTATTAGTATTTAAAAAAAATTAGACAGTAATGTATTAAAATTTTCCTATTAGATTTTGAATTTATTATCTCAAAATTTGTGTTAATGGTAGGTGATAAATTATAACATGTGTGATTTTTGTTATAAGTAGCTCAATATTTATGTGTTGATACATTTTTGTTACTCGATATTTGATAGTATATACATAAGATTTCATTTTTGTATAAAGACATATTTTCATGGAATGAGGTGTATTAATTTTAAGACCTAATGGAATAGGAGTGAGATAATGTCACGAGATGTAGAGAATTTGAATTTCATTTTAAATTATGTTAAATTTTGTAGAAACTTGCGCGATGGATTGACATTCAAGTGTCATGCTCGTGTTGATGAAATGTAATTGCTGGAATTATTTTTTGAAAACTAAAAAAATATGAAGATTACAACATTAATTCATAATATCCATTGTCATTTTTTTCTGATGGTCTCTTTCATTGGCGTATTCGGCCCAATTCGGGCATAGACAAAAAGAAAAATATTGTTCGGTTCACATACAAATAGATTGGGCCCAATTATAGGTCATACATAAAAAAGAGAATATTGATAACCAAACACATTTGGAGTTAAAACTAACGGGCCGTTATAAAAGTGGGAGTAGTAGTACAAACGAAAAAGCCCAATCGTAAAATCCACAGATAAAAGCAGAAAAGCCCTAAGCGGTTTAAATCGGCTTCTTCTTCTCCCTCTCTTCTCCGACCCGCCGCTGCCTCTCCCACTGCGAAAACCTCCGGAGCAATGGTATCTCTAAGCTTTTTCTCTCGCCCTCAATTTCCTTATATGCACACATCGCTAACAATGGCGTTTCTTGTTCTGTATCACGAACACAGGCAGCAGAGAAGAAGTTGAGCAACCCAATGAGGGAGATAAAGGTCCAGAAGCTCGTCCTGAACATCTCCGTAGGAGAAAGCGGAGATCGTCTCACCAGGGCCGCGAAGGTACTGCAGATCTCCATTTTCCGTCTTCGTTTTATTGGTTTCAGATATGCGATCGAATTATGCCATTTTTGGTTTGTGTAGGTGTTGGAACAGCTGAGTGGCCAAACCCCTGTTTTCTCTAAGGGTATGATTTGTTTTATTGTTTCCAACTGATGGGTTCTTTCACATGCTTATTTTTTTCTGGAAAATTAACACCATGTTTAATTCTAGGAATTTGAGAGGGAAAATAAAAGGAAATGAAATGGAAAACTATTTTTCATGTGTGGTGAGAGAGGAAAAGTAGGAGAAAAGAAAAGTAGAAGGAAACAATGAGATGAAAAAATAAGTTTAGACAATGGTAACCAAGATTCTTTCATTTTGTCAAGGAAAAGGAGAGAAATCATTTTATTTTCATTCCTTATTTCTTGAGCAAAACATAGTGTAAAAAATTCACGGTGGGCTTTACACTTATTTCCCTGTTGTATTTTGTTTAATGTTTTGGTTTTGAAAATTGAACATGTCTCTTACTTAGTATAATCCTAGTTGTACTGTACATACTGGTCAGTGGTGGATACTTTGTAAGTGCTTTGTTGTGTACTTTGTTTTTGGTGAAACAAAAAGATCCTTGTAGAAATTTTGAGTTTAGATATAGATAACAAATGTTTGAAGTGTTGGGCACCATTAAGGCATTGGTTTTTCAATTTGACAGTTATAATCTGAAATATCATCTGAGTCTTCTTATTTTTTGTTTCAAGTATCAGTCTTTGCGCATGTTTATGAATCCCCTTAATATCACTCCAATAAATAGTCGGAAAAGCTTTTTCCAAGTAATCCCAAAAGGCTATAGATAGAATGATGGATGTGTCTTATGTTTGATAATATGTCACTCCTAGTTTTTAACTCAGAAACCAAATATGTTGAGGGTTGTCTTTCCTTTCCTACATATCTTTTGACTTGTCGATTAATGATCATTTACCAAGAAAAGTTGCATTTCTGATTTGTCATCATATCACCATGGTTTTCCTTTTTGGTTGTGTAGTTTTATTCATTTCATGGTGTTATGTGTGTGTCTTAACAGCTAGGTACACTGTGAGGTCCTTTGGCATCAGGCGTAATGAAAAGATTGCGTGCTATGTCACTGTCCGGGGCGATAAAGCAATGCAACTCCTTGAGAGTGGTTTGAAAGTGAAGGAATATGAGCTGCTCAGGAGGAATTTCAGTGATACCGGTTGCTTTGGTTTTGGTATTCAGGAGCACATTGATCTTGGAATCAAGTAAGTCTCTGCCAGCTCCAGTTTTGCAAAAAAAATTGAACTTCTGTATGTCAATTTGTTTGACTTCATGTAGTGTGGAAGCAGGGTATCAGGTAATTTATATACAATTTGTCAAAAACAACAAAGTCTCAAATATAGCATTTTGATGGACTTGGTGCCAGTTTAGAAGATGTCTTTTGGGCAAATAAGCTGTACCATTAAACTAAGCATCAATATATTACTAATTCTTATCGGAATTAGATCATATAAAAAACCACTTTAAATTTAACTACAATCATATAATATAAAGTCAAAACTTAATCGAATTGGATCAGAACAAATAAGACAAGTTGAATAGAATGAGCCCTTTAATTGTTTTTGTTTATCTTTCTTAAACATCTCACAGGTATGACCCATCAACTGGTATTTATGGTATGGATTTCTATGTTGTCTTGGAACGGCCTGGTTTCCGAGTTGCACGGCGAAGAAGGTGCAAGGCCCGTGTCGGGATCCAACACAGAGTCACCAAGGAAGATGCCATGAAGTGGTTCCAAGTCAAGTATGAAGGTGTCATCCTTAACAAGTCCTCCAACCTTCCATCTTAGGGGATGTCTTTTCGACTTTGCTGTCTTTTCTCTTCAAGTGGCTTTGTGGACCAACACTTTGTGTTTTGTTTTTTTTTTTTGAGTTAGCAAAGTTTTGCTTATGGATTGATAATTTACCATGGGATGATTAAAAGCTTTTAGTGTCTTATTGTGTTTATGTTTTGCTCTTTAGTGCCTTGAGCTTGAGGATTCTAATTCTAGTCCAGCCTTTTCCACACATTTCTAATTTTTTTTAATATTCCCATCCACATAGAATTCCTTGAGTGTGTGTAAAAAATTTTAACATTTTGAAAAAATTATCTTTTGAAGCTAATTTTTTATATAAATTTTTTATTGAATTATCAGCAGTGTCATTATTTTCACTCTGATTATTGAAAGGTGTCACGATGATTTGATAAAGGATAATATTGTTAGCTCGAGTGGTCATTTTTGAACGAGTCAACTCAAGAGGCGCACTCAATTACACTCTAACAAAATAAAATTTTACTCTGGGATTTTTATAATTAAGTAATAGATAAAAAAATGTAAAGAAAAGAAATTAGTTTAACCTTGTACTCTGGAAAGAATATTAATTACTGTTGTCATTTTAAATTAATTTTTGTTTTTTTGAACCAAGGATTATTTGGGTTTAATTCCACATGATCTTCTTCCACTCCATTCTATTCCAATCTTTTTGAACCTTGTACTTAAGAGCATGTGCAATGGTGAGGTAAAAATGGAATGTCAGACGTGGCATATTTTAACCAATAAAAATTAATCTAGTCAACGTGTGTCACATGAGTGGAGTGGCAAATTCTACAATGGCAAGTAATGTCCGCGCCCCTCTCCGTTTCATATCTACTCTCCAATTCTTTAGAATAAAAATAAAAACTAAAAAAATAATACTTCTCACTCCTTAAAAAATGGCTCGCATATGCCACGAGAATCGGGTGGAACTCCTTGGAAAAGCAAGGCACCACGCCTTAATATGATGATGTGGCACGGCGTGGAATCCTTTTGGATCGCCACTCCTAGTGCTCTTAATTTTTGTTTTGATTGTTCACAAGTCACAATGTTCAATACTCCCTTGGTCCATAATTTTTCTTTTCAATTTTCTTATTTGTTCGTCCCATAAATTATCTTACCATTTCTTTTTTGACAAATGTGTTTTCTTTAAACTACATTATTATTCTCACCTTTATCCATTAATTACTACTCCCTCCGTCCTGAAGTATTCGTCCAGTTTTGACTTTTGGAATTGTTCATTTAAGCACTTTGACTCATCAAATTCTTTCAATGTGTAAGTCTAAATATAGTCATGTGTGATCTTGTTTGATTTATCTTAACATATAGATTATTAATATATAATTTCTAGAATTTTTTAATATACAAATTACAAGATAAAATTGATTAAAGAAGTGTATTGGATGATGTGTAAAAATAAAAGTGGATAAATACTCTGGGACGGAGGTAGTATCTACTATATTTTTACACTTTATTTTATACTCCGTATATTGCAATGACTTAGAGACAAATACGAAAAGTAAAAATATTTTTATTTTTCTATAGTTTACGTAAAAAGTCAAAACGAGAAATTATTTTTGAATACATAAGTATCATACTCTTTCGTAATCAAATGTAAACCAACAGGCAACAACCTAAAAGGCCAAGGGGTTTTACCAATTCTAGATTATGATAACTTCATTTATATCTCTATCCAACTTAGAAATTTTTAATTAATATTTCTGGTCACAATGCGTGGTCTCAATGACTATGTAAATAAAATGG